AACAAAAACCAGCAGTGCGTGCCAATTATTACATTATTTCATAATTCGGAGCAAAATATCGCGGAGAAAAACTTCTGCGGCGACTATTGCTCCGACGAGAGAATAGGTATTTGCACAGAGCAAAACAATATACACACAGACCATAAAGTAATCATTTAAAGAGTTTTAGAGCCTAATAACAATGAATTTACTTTGTTAGGCAATTTCATTGTTATTATTATGTTGAAAATATCGATTGCATTTTGAATGACCCAAGATTTAAGTAGAGACTAAACTTTAGTTATTTCAAAAAATTTAGATCAGTTTTGCAACACTGTGTATACTATAAGCTTTACTTGAAGCCTTCGCCACTAGATGGCGAGTACCCGTTGTTACGCAAACTGCAAGTGGCAAAGTCAAAATAATTGTATAAGTCGAAACAGGCTTTCAATATTTACTTATGATCAGATGTTATTCACGCTAGTCGGAAAATATCGAGCATTTCTAAAATGATGCACAGCAGCACTGCAATCGCATCCTCCCGCTCAACCTTCCCCGCAAGCTCTCTCCATTCGGATGAAAATCATGCGTGCGTTTGCGAACGCGGCGATGGTTTGCCGCACAGTACGCGCTCTACCCAGCGCAGCGTCGATTTTCATGCAGCTTCACCATGCAGCAGCAGCAGCAGCAGCGGCAGCAGAGAATCGGCGTGCACGCACTTATATGTAAAACTTTTCTCCATTGGTTTTGCTGCTGCAGCAGGTAGCTAAGCTGTTATTTACCAAAGGTTACACAGGCGTATAGTCCCGGTATACAGAGCGGTATGTGCCTACGATTCATTTATCAATATTTTGACATATCTTTCAATTGGGCCGCTCGTATACACACACATATATATTCCAATTATTCATTCGCATGTGAATATGGGCTAGCGAGATGCATATCCGCGTACGATATTATTGATTATTCAAAGCTCAGCATGCAGATGCGCGCGTGTGTGTGCGTACGCCGACGATTTATCGCTACACGCGGGTTATAATGCATTAAAAGCATCGAACTTATTTGAAGAGGCCATCGAACGCGGGATATAGATGGATATATTTAAAATATACAAATTTGTTTATCTCCATGTAGCTGCGCAGGAGCGCCGTATTTACCTCGCGAATTACATACGTATATGGGTTGCACGCGTGTGTGTACATCGAGTCCGCAATGAATGCACATTTATTTCTATACTCTATGCAACGCTATACGGAGAGAGAACGTGTGACGGAGCATCGATGAAAATTCATTAACTCGGGACCGAAAGAAAAAACAAGCCCCGAAAAGAGAAACGACGCCTGCAGGCAGGTAAACATACGAGAGAGTCTTTTCATCGGCGCTTTTTTCTTCGCTCTCAATGTCTCGAGGCTATATACTACTACTACTGCGTCAAAATAGAGTTTGTAAACGTCACATACATAGCCGTGTATGGTAATCTCTCCCTCTCTATGTGCGCGTATAATACTGCCCTTAGCGAATTTTACGACTGCTAAAGTCGAGCTCTCATGGATATAGACCCATTGTCCAAAGTACGAGGGATATAATACTTACTGCTGCTATATACGCGCGTACATGGGGGAGAGCAAAATGTAATTACGCCTGGCTCTCGCTCTCGTACATAGCTAGCCTACGATGATGCAGTAGCCTCGAAAAAGCTCGTGTACTTAGCCGAGAGAGAGAGAGAGAGAGGAGCTAGTTTGCGCCCGGGCGAATAAAGAGTTGAAGTGGGATTTCGCCTGACCGAGGTACATAGGAGCCCGAGGATTATAATATGCGGCAAGATGCATAAATAATGCGAGAACGCGCGGGGGCTAAATTTTCAAGGCTAAGAAGATCCGCTATAATACGCGCGGCTGTTATGCGCGAGTGGAATTAGAACGAGAGCTCGTGGGTGCGGCGATTAAATAAAGATTTTAACCCCGCCGCGTTTCGTTAAAAACTTGAGCTCGCGCGCGCAAGCTCTCTCGACTACTATGTGTTTGTGTGCCTGTGTGTGTGACGAGCATAAATCCCAGGTGCTAATCGACGTTGCGAACGAACGCATTTATTATCGAGCTTTTCCACGCGAATAAAGCCAAGAGAGAGAGAGAGAGAGATAGATGGAGAAGATAGCCGTCCGTGGCATGGACCGGAGCGATAACTTTTCGCAGCGCCAGCTATGATGCTTACACTGCGCGATCAGCAGCAGCAGCAACTCGACGCTAATTTTCGCATCAATTTTGACCCTTTTCCTGTGCAAGCTCGCGCGCAGAAAGTAATTATTATGCTTGAGATCTTTCGTTTTTTTTTCCTCCCTCTCTCTGTTTAACGTGGACCCGAAAACGAAACGCGCACACGATGTACGTGTGCGCACGAAGGAGCTGCTGCTATTGAAATTTTTAAACGCAAAGAGAGAAAAGAAAGTATGTAGTGCGTGTGTTCGTTTAACTCGCTTTTCTTCTTCTTCTTCCCAGTCACATTGTCCCGCTTTTTATATACGTGTATACCTTTCTTTGCCTCTTTTTATTATCTTTTTTTTGCTCACTCTCTCTTCTACTCTCGAGGGTTTTTAAGCCTCTCGCAAGAGTTGGATTAAGCTTCACGCTCAAGAAGCAGAAGCAGTAGCGGCAGCAGTAGCAGCTGCAAAAAAAAAGTTGAACCGCACCGAGTTGAAAAAGACGACGAGAAAAAGCCAGGGAGAGAGAGAGATGTTCGTCGACGAGGAGAAAGAAGCACAGATTTGCAGATTCTTTTCAGGGACTGTGTGTATAGATATAGTACGCGACATCGATTCCCTCCCCCGCCCACCGAAAATGCCTCGACATATATTATACGAGTTGAGCAAACTCGAGCTTCTTACACAGCGACTTCTTCTGCGTCCTTCGCTCGTATTTATATTAAAATCAATGAAACGTCAGTTGCATCGAGTCCGAGGCTCGTCAGCAGCAACGCACGACCATTCGTCCTATATATGATGTACATTATACTCCCGAGCACGATCCTGACCTAAGCGTTTCTCGGCCAATGACCAGACATGTGTGTGGTAGCAGCAGCAGCAGCAAGGTAGCACAACTTCCTTCCGCCAGACGTGTGTGTGTATCACCGTAGGTATTATATTTAGGACGTGCCTCTACATCGTCGTCGTCCCCTCGTCGCCTTGTTAATGTTGCACACGTGTGGAATTTATCGCGGCGGGGCAAAACTTGAACTTACACACATAACGACCTACCTACCTAGGAGGACGACGACAAATTCTGTAGCGACGCGCGCGGAAAGTTTCCTGCGAGCTGCCTCAGCTCTTGTATTACGTATATAAAGATGATTATTACGGCGCCGCGACGTATGTGTGTGTGCTTGCACAGAAAGGCACAGAGCGCGACTTAGTTCAAGTACTAGATAAGGGCTTTCGAGGGCTGGAATTAAGGTATACGCTGACTGAAACCGCGTAACCCCGCGTCAAGCCGAACGAGTTGCAAAATTTATTAAGACTTTCTCGACAGTCGACGTACACACAACACGCCCATTCGACGCTGCTGCAGCTCACAGCAGCTGTACAGTATGGTGAATTTTGCTGTCTAAATGAAAAATAAATCGATTCGCTCTAGTCTCAGCTAACAGAAACAGCAGCGTGTAACGAGTTGTGTGTTGCTGCCGCTCGTCAACGGTAATGAATGTGGGAGCTGCGTCGAAGTCTTGTTAGAATGACGTGTGTTGGGATTAGCGAAAAAAAAATTTACCTCTCTGCTGTTCGAACGCGTGTTGTGGAGAGCCTACCGACCACGAGACGGACGGAGAAAAATTCCAATCACCTGACCACCCCTGAGGGAGAGAGGGGTCAAATTTGTCTATGTGTTCTTCTCGAAAATTTCCGACTGACACTCGATCGTTAATTAGAGGGTAAATTCGTTCGCGCGCAAAATTAATAACGTAAATCTTTTAATGGCGCGAGAGAGAAAAAAGGAAAATATGCGCGCATTTATATTATAGAGAGGGAGGTGGGCTTCATTATTATACTCGAAGCTGCTGTTGCAGCTGACGTTGGTAAATAATTGGCATCTATTGCGTATACATACACTGCAGCAGCAGCAGCAGCCACGGCGTCGACTAGAGAGCACACGCCCGGGAAAAGAAAAAGGAAAAACCATTAAGCCAAGCCTGCGCTCGCCTCGAGTATATAGCTGCCTTCTAATAAATTACACAAAAACCTCTCGCGCCCCCGCGCACACACCGTCTGCGCTTATATACAGTTTAATACACACTCACTTGAAATTCCCAAGTCGGAGCTGCTGTTACTGCTGCTAACCCTCCCGACAAAAGCACAACGTCGTCGTCGTAGACGTGCTATTCGATCTGCATCGTGTATGCGTAGCTATATGTATATGCGACGAGCTCGTCTCTCTATAACGAGATTTTTTCATACCTGCTATGAAATCAAACTCCATCCCTGCTTCCATCGTCGTCGTCATCGTCGTCGTCGTCGTCTTTATTGTCGTGGAGCATCGATTCTGCGAAACTTGTTTTTTTATACTTCGTGCGAAGCGAAATTGTCCTCTCGTTAGAAGCTGCTCCTTTTGCCATTTTCGAGATTTGCTTCTTTCCTTTTAGTGAAGTGTCCCAAAGAAGCGAGAGAGAAAAATTTCGGACGATGTTGGCCAATTCAAACAAGAATAAGTAGTGATAATATTTTTTGGAGTAAATTCGATCATCTGTAACACAATAATAGCTATATGACAAAATGTCCATCCAAATTTTTTATTCATTGCGCAGGTAGAAATATTTCAGTAGCGATTTTAACTCCTAATTTTTAATTTCGATGATCAGCAGAATTGCACATGTAGAAGCATCTTTAGAATGTGTATCAGAGAACAAAGCTGCACAACGTGTCCGTAACTGTGCAACGACGGTAGAGGGGAATATGTTTGCCAACGAATGATAACAGCCACGAGATCTTCAGGCTAACCTATAAAACAGTGATGAGTTGAGTCTCTCTGTGTGCAGAGTCGAGTTCCAAGACGAGCAAGTGTTTTAAAATTGTATCTAAAATTTTTTGTCTTTAAAATCTTAAAAGTGTAGAGTTACTCGAAGCGTATCACCTCGAACATTTTCTCAGTGCGTACCGTGAAAATTTGCTGTGAATCCATTTACCCATTTGATCAAGAAAATGATGGAAAACACCAGTGACGTAGTTAGGTATAACATTTTTAGGTTATGTTACCACGATGATTTTTCGAAAGATCTCTTATAAAACTCGATCATTCTTCAGGGTGAAGGAGGAGCCAAGCGATACTTTGACGAACACAGGTGACGGTTATGTTTTAGATTCGGTAGATTCTTACAAAGGCGAAAACTTTGAAACGTTACCGTTTCATGAAGTGTCGGTGAGTTCAATGGTTTTAAATACCTTCGGTTAATCAACTATTAGGACTAGCCTACAATTTTTATTTTAGGCAAAAATCAAGAATGAGGGTTTATCGCTACAGGACCACTTAGATGCAAAAATATTCATCGATTTTGAGTGCAAGGATGTTAAACCTGAAACAAAGGCTCAACCGACCACCATCTGCAAATCTGAAAATCAACATTTTCAACATACTGCAAAAATAGAAAACGAGAATCAGACCGTTAACTCAAACGAGACATTATCAAAAATTCTGATAGGAAAAGGATGTAATTATGATAATGATTGTCGATTCAATGTAAACTTCTCTTTAAAACTTGTCAATTACCAGAAGCTACAAAATTGTGAAAAAAATATTGAAAAAAGATTATTGTGTGCATCAAAAATGAATCGAAAAACACATGCAAGAGCAAGCCTGAAAAAGCTGAATATGACGAATATGGCACTTGAAACAATTAGACCATTTGAATGTGATACTTGTAAAAAATCCTTTACTCAAAAAAAGTACCTCCAATCTCACATAAGTGCAGTACATGATCGTAGCAAACCCTTTGAATGTGAGATTTGTTATGAATCATTTGGATACAAGAGGGTACTGGATGGACACATAAATTCAGTTCATAAGCGCAGTAAACCCTTTGAATGTGAGCTTTGTCACAAATCATATGGATTCAAAGCTGGCCTCAAACGTCACGTCACTGCAGTACATGATTGCAGTAAACCCTTCGAGTGTGAGATTTGTCACAAATCATATGGATACAAAGATCAGCTCAAAATTCACATAAATGCAGTACATAATCGTAGCAAACCGTATGAGTGTGATATTTGTCATAAAGCATTTGGACGAAAAAGTAACTTCAATTCGCACATAAATGCAGTTCATAATCATAGCACACCCTTCGAGTGTGAGACTTGTCACAAATCATTTGTACATAAAAGTGTCCTCAAAACCCACATAAATGCAGTTCATGATCGTATCAAACCCTTTGAATGTGAGATTTGTCACAAATCATTTGGGTATAAAGGTAACCTCAACAAACATACAAGTTCAGTTCATGATCGGATTAAACCCTTCGAATGTGAAATTTGTCCCAAATCATTTGGACGTAAACATCACCTCGAATATCACATTCATACAGTACACAATCAGAGTAAAGCTTTTGAATGTGAGATTTGTCACAAATCATTTGGACGAAAAGGTAACCTCACTGTACATGCAAATTTAGTTCATAATCGGAACAAACCCTTTGAATGTGAGACTTGTCACAAATCATTTGCACGTAAAAGTAGCCTCAAAATCCACATAAATGCAGTTCATGATCGTATCAAACCTTTCAAATGTGAGATTTGTCAAAAATCATTTGCATACCACCAAACCCTCAAATATCACATAAATAGAGTACACGATCGTAAAAAATAAATCTAGGTTAGGTCTTACGGTTATCTCAAAAGTCTACACAATTAAATTTCATTGTCGTATAGCTAATCTTTTGAAAAAAAATGAAACTATTTCCTTGAAGCAGTGAATTTATCTTAAGATAAGTATAGCAATGGTTAAAAACGTAACAAAAAATACTTTAATTTTTTATAAAACTTTTGAGCATGTCTAATTGTTATCAATTTGTCATTAATACGTAGAAGTTTTTTCCCATGATTTTTAAATAAATCTCAATTAATATATTGAAAGACACGTCTTAGTTTTCAATCTCTTTTTATTTTCCCTGTGAAACTGATTTTTAAACATTCCATTAATTTTTTCCTTTTTCATCAAGTAACCCACGATGTGACAGTAGACATTTTTGAATGCCAATTCCATTCAATTGAGTTCCCGAATCCAGAATCATTCCTAAATTTTCCGTACTGCGCATAAAAGTATAACGGATAATCATTCATTAAAAGTTATATCATTTAAAACTTTATTTTTAAATCCTATAGAAATCAATCATCAATTATGAACGATTACTAAAGTACTGCATAGAGTTACATACTTACGATATATTACATCCGGAAACATACAAGTGTTAAGCATTTAGGCCCATAGTTCATGAAATACAATCGAATCCCATCAAGTTGCGAGTTAAAAAAAAGAACGGCGCAACAAAAGTTGAAATCCTGCGACTCCATGGAAAAAAAGAAGGCAGAAGAAGAAAAGTCGTACAACACAAAAGTTACACGTATGTAAGGGAAAAAGGAGGAAAAAACAGTTCGATATCGCTGATACATATATAGCGTTACTTTTACGATCGCATTGAAAGCCTCCCCCGTATATATATAAACGATATAAAACGTTCGGTTTTAGCCCCCAAATTTCGATTGTATATGAAGTTCGCGTGACTATACTGACAATCTTTTGTCTCCCCGACTCCGAGGGGAAAAAAATCAACTCGACGATTGCTACGTTTTCTTCCGATTTTCTGTACACATGGCATCCTTCTCTCTCGCTCTGGAGTGTGAATTAATTTTTTTCACCCGCTATTTTCCGCAGGCTGCTGTCAGAATGCAGATCCGATGCGTCGCTTTCGAGACTTCCGAGACTCGCAGATACCCAAGGACTTTGAGCGCCAACGAGAGGAAACGTAAGTTTACCATCAATTATGTAAAGCGTATATTCGATTCGGAAAACGTAATTTTCTCTCGCACCTGTTCGCGCGAGAAGCGCTCGGAGAGCCGATCGTGCATCAATCTGACGTGGGCTTTTCGCCCTTCCTTTTTTTTCGAGTATCTATAATACACCTATATACACGGCCGGATGTCGCTTCTTTTACATTTTCTATTTTCCGGATAGGAGTAAAAACAAAAAAAAAGAATGAAAAGGGATCCGAATCGATCCAGAGTCTCTCGCACGGTTCTAAGATATTTCTTCCTACTTTTACCGTATAGTTGTAGTGCGGGCGCGTTTTTTTACTTTCTTTCACTCTCTCCTGCTGGTCTGTCGAACCTCATGAAAAATTCAATCCCATCCATCCATAGACAACTCATCCTCTCCGGCTGACGTATCCTTTTTTTTCATCTTTTTGTCGTTTACTGTCTATTCTTCAACTATTATATACCTATCAATTATAAAATGGCCTAAGATGCTGAAATAAATTTTGATTTGAAAAAATAAAAAATATGTAAGATACGTAACAACCATTTTTTCGCATTATTCAAATGAAATAAAGTTACAACTGTTTTACTGTCATCGCGATACAATATGAATTGCAAAAAATAACAATGTCTCAAAGCTGTGAAAGATATGCGACATCGATTTCAGAAAGCTGTCACGAGGATCACACTTTTGCATAATATATCGGGCGAGAATATTTGAAAATTTTCAAAAACTTCTTCGAATCTTTTCTCACCTGATTTTTCATTTAAATCGAAGCAAACATCGTATCTCATGAAAAGTATATTCTCCACTTCAGCGTTCGAATTATTAAGAAAAAAATTGAAAAAAGATTCAAGCTCGCGAAATCGAAAGATTTTCAATTCGATCAAAGTAAATTCTCATGAATTATCGATGATCATTTGAATCGTAGCAAAAAAATAGCAAAAAATAAAGTGTAGAAAATATTCAAGCGAACAATCTCGTCGCCCCCCCCCCCCCGCCATGAATTCTCGCTTTATAACAAACTTATACCTACGCGCGGGCACAGGTGGGACGTCTCGTCGCTGCGAAGCGAGGGAAAAGTAAGGGCGACAAAACCAGAGGCGGATGTGGCACCGGCGTCAACGAGGTCCCAAGGCACTGGCGGCGGCGGAAACGACTCCGGCAGAGAAAGCCTGAAGTTGCCTGGCGACAAATCCTTCGAGCTGCAGCAGAGGCTGCGCTCAGCCAACGCGAGTAAGCATTATAATATATAATATATAATAAATATATCTCGGGCCGAGTTTCCGTAGAGCACAGCAGTTGAGTGAAATATTTTTACGCGGCGGTGCCTGCACAGGTGTCGAGCACCCGAGCCTGAGGCAGCTGATAAACGATCGCCGTCGCAAGAAGCGCAGACGAGGTAAAAACTGGCCGATGAGCGAGAATTCGGTGGACGTCAAGAAGGATCAAAGAGGAGCGGCGAGGAAGCATCAGCAGCACAGTACCGGCAAGTCGCGGGAGGAGCGACGTCGACGAAGACGAAACAGAAAACGAGCGAGAAGCCGGATTAGACTCGAGCAAAGCGGAGGAGGAGGACGAGTAGCTCGAGGCAGAGGGAGAGCAACGAGGAAATGGCGAGACGAGCCAATGGCGCGGCTGATCAAGTTGCTCGACGAGCAAAAAGCCGCCGACGAGGAGGCGAGATTTCTCAGCGAAAATCCGCTCAATCTCTCGTCCACGCGAACCGTAGACGTCGTTGGTAAGTGTGCGAGATCTTCTCTATTTTCCTCTCTCACCCCCACCTGCACCGACACAATGAATTTTAATGGAATATATTTTATTTTGTCTCTTTCTTTATTAGGCACAACGAAGATCACCGAGCAGCAGCAGAAGCAGCCGAGGGCGTCGCATTCCAATGATTACGAAATTCGCCTGACCACGGAAACTCGCATACTTGAGCCACCCGAGCCGACGACCGCCCATCTCTATCAAGCGGAGCACGAATTTTCGCGAAACTTGGAGCGCGAGTTATCGGCCCATGGACAGATGTTCGACGCCGCTGCCGAAGAGGAAGAGGCACAGGACGAGCACGAGGAGGAGGAGGAGGAGGAGGAAGAAGAGCAGCAGCCAAGATTTGACGAGCAAACCAAGCGGACGGCGGTCAAAGCCTCCTACGATCCGGAACGAATGCTCGGCTACTCGAGGACCGACGAGGACCTGCCGATACTCGACATGGAGAACGAGGTGCTGCAGAGGACCATCAAGGATTACAACGCCTACATGAGCTCCAGCATAGCCAGGGCTGCTCTCGTGGCCAAGGTAATAAAACAATTATGTAACGATAATTATCCAAGCGAGAGAGAGAGAGAGAGAGAGAGAGAGAGAGAGAGTGATTTTCGCCAACTAATTACCGCCGAGCTGATGAATGATGCATGAATAAAGAGAAAAAAATCTCCAAACGTTTTATAGAACGAAGATTCATCGCGTCGAGATTTTTACGACCAAGAGGGAGACAACGAGAGGCACGATGAGGAGGTGGAGGTCGAAGAGCAGGAGCAGCAGCAGGAGGAGGAGGAGGAGGAAGAAGATGAAGACGAAGCAAGGGGCGATCTGTCTTGCATTAACGGGACGTTTTTACCGGCGCCCAGCGTCCGTTATGCCCTTATCAAATATTTAAAGTAAGTGTCGGGAGTTAATGCGATTCATGAATTATTCAGTCGCGCGCGAGAGTCCTTTTTTTAACGTTGTGTGTTATATATATCAAATCGAAGATGAAAAGTGTGTTTGTTTTGAGCGTATACGCGCGCGGGCAGTGCTGCGGAAGAAAAGTGGAGTAGATTTAATTAAGACGCGGCCGCTATAGACCGGGTGAAAATTAATGAGTCGAGTCGGATTTTTTTTCCTTCCTTTATTTTTAACGTGCGCGATGCTCCAATTCGTCGTCGGGGGTTGGCTCTTAATTTGTTTAACTTTGCGCGCTCTTTACCTTTTATTTTTTCCTTCTTCTCAAATGAAACAACGAGCGAAAAATAACTCGAACTCGCAGATCGTCGCGACCCGGCCACGAGTATCTCGAGGCCGACTACGAGTGCGAGCCCGGCTACGTTCTGGACTCGTCGGGGGTAGCTGCTGGCGGACGTCTCCTGTGCCACGAGCGTCGCTGGCTGGGCCGACTGCCGCGCTGCCTGTACCGGGGCGACGAGGCCAGCTGCGCCGAGCTCGGCTGCCAGCAGCTCTGCCGGATCGTCGCGGGCCGGGCGACCTGCCTCTGCCACGAGGGCTACAGGCTGCTGGAGGACGGCCGCGACTGTCGCGACATCGACGAGTGCAGCGAGGACGGCGCCGAGGGTAGGGGCCCCTGCGAGGACACGTGTCGCAACACCGAGGGCGGCTTCGAGTGCGGCTGCGACGGCAGGCCCGGCACCAGACTCGGCCCGGACAATCGCACCTGTCAGCGCAACGAGCCACTGGAGAGCTGCGGCCCCGACAACGCCGGCTGCTCCCACACCTGCCTGGCGAGCATGGGTCGGGTCTTCTGCCTGTGCCCGGACGGATTCGTACTGCAGGACGATTGGAAGACTTGTCAAGGTCGGTGCAGCTATTTTTTCATAAGGTTTTTGGATCTTCTATATTTAGACTATACATATTCATAAACTAGATCACGATGTAACTTTTAAAATAATCTACGAATCGATGAATCAATTAATTGGCAGTGGTTTTTTGTTTTTTGTCTCCTCTCTATCAATGAATCCGTGGTTATAAAGAGAGCAAAGAGATTAACGTCCGCGCGTACGTACCCACGGCGGGGGCAAGGAGGAACAAAGCCAATATATAAACATTAGAGCATTGCATCGGATGCTACGTAAGTGAAAAGTCGAGTCGGTTCCACGAAATAAAAGGTCTTTCGGCTGCGCGAGTTTATAACTCGATCGCTGCTCTCGTAGGCGAAAATTACCCGATTCAAAGTGGTAATTATACAGAAGATACTGTACATGGCAGAGGCATTCAATTAGTATATAGGCGGCAGCGGCAGCGACTATAAACTTTGAACGCGTATAATATATAAGTACGAGGTGGGGAGGTCGATCATCGCTTCGGTCGAGATGATCGAAGTATATATCATTTAACTTTGCTGCTCTTGTGCGCACGAACTCCGAGCCCCGCCGAGGCTCGATATATTAATAATTAATAGCGCATAATAATTTTCCTCCTTCCCGAAACACGTATTATACATCGCGCGTGTGTGTGCAAGCGACGTGCGTGTAACTTGCAACGTCGTCGTCGTCATCATCCTCCTCGTCCCCGCGCTCGAGCCTTAATAATCATTTGCGCCGGTCTCCCTGGAGGCTACGTCGTACTCGGGGGGTACAACGAAACATCGAGGCGACTATGCATCGTCGTCGTCGTCGTCGTCGTAGTGATATTATAACGTCTACTATAGGACTAAACACGTGTGTGTGTATGTGTGTGGCGCGAATAGTTATGTGTATTTTCCTGTGCAGACGTTGACGAGTGCGCCGTGCCGTATCTGCAAACGGAGCTCTGCCGCTACGGCTGCATCAATACGCCGGGCTCGTACCGATGCGCCCCGCCGCCGCCCCTCGACGTCGTTCACGCGCAAATGATGACGATGACCAAGCAGACCAGCAGCAGCAGTAGTCCTCCTGCTCCTGTTGCTGCTGCTAGTCCTCATCGCGGAGACTCGTCCTGCCTGCTGGGATATCGGCTTGGAGAGGACAGAAATTGCCTGGGTGAGTTATATTAAATATACGTACATGCTGTAACGAGCATTCAAATATATGCGCTGCTGCTCCGGGGCGCGCGAAATATTACAACTTTTGTGCGGTTGCGGGCCGCGCTGTTATGATATATACATTATATAACGCAGTTGTTGCCGCTGCTGCTCAACATATTTCTGCTGCGCGCGAAACTAATTATAAAATTTATGTTTTCGAGCCCCCCCGCTCCGATGTCGTTATATAATATTAGCCAGCCTTTTTGTAACAGCACACGCACTACACCACCACCACCACCACCACCACCAGCTCTTAAATTATGCATTGTCGAGTCTCGAGCCCCTGCCTCTGCTCTGACACGGCAATTTCAACTTCTCGCGCCTGTTGTAGCGGATACGCTATATATACGGTATACTCCACTCAGCTCGCGCTGTGCTTTTGTAAATATGAGTGCGTGAAGCGCGAAACTTCAGGAGAGGCCGGGGCTCTTCTCCGATGTTGCGGGAGGGAGGGAACGTTGTACGTAATACATCCCGGTTTTACGCGGAGCCTAGATTTATGTCACATACGCTTGTGTAGCAGCAGCAGCAGCAGCTACGAGTGGCGAAGTACGTAATATATGCGTGTCTGCTTGCAAGCTGCAAGCCCATCGCAGACGATCATGAGATTTTTCGAGGTACATACGCGGAAAAGACGGAGCTTTCGAATTATTGCGTGATTTCGCTCGGTCTACACGACGCCACGCAGAGTAAACAAAGAAATCGATACGGCACGGACCGGCGTACGTAAGACCGATCGCGAGTGTACTGTGGGCCGAGAAGATGGCCAATTCACACTACGATTTCGTCGATTATTATTACGACGTGGACGCGGACTCGTACGAGCCCGATTTCAAAGTTGCCTCGAGCGCGAAACAACTGAAGACCTTGAGGCAACGGATCGACTGGACGAGTCGCAAGGAGCGACTGAAACTTCTCCGCGAGCTCCGTCCCTTGATCGTCGCTTGGGAGGGCCGACTTCCGACGAATCTCCGTGACGTCTTTCGGAACGACGAGGTCGATTGGCTCCTCGTCGAGTCCGTCAATTCCTACGACGATTCGACAGAGACGAGATCGCTCATCGACTTCGTCTGCAGTACCGGCTACAAGGACAGGCCCAGAATCGACGAGGAGACCGGCAAGCCACGCGCGCGGCGTACCACGGCGATACATCACGCGGCCAGACGCGGTTGGAGCTTTCCGAAAAAATACATCCGTAAGCTCTTCGCGATATACGACAGATTCGACGTCGATTACACGGACGAGCGCACGGGCCTGACGCACTTCCAAGTGGCCTTCGAGTACGGCTGCGACGACGTCATCGAGAAATTCCTCGAGCTCGGGCAGGATCCCAACGGCCTGTGGCGAGACACGGGCGACTCGCTGCTGCTCGCCGCTCTGAAGCGCCGAGACAAGAGGATGGCCGAGGTGCTGCTGAGACGAGGCGCCGATCCCAACGCGGTGGACGCGTGGGGCAACACGGCGCTATGCTACGCCGCCTTCCACGGTTGCGAATACTCGATGGCGCTACTCGTGGCGCGAGACGCCGATCCGAATCTGGCCAACGTGTACGGCTCGACTCCTCTGCACATCATCAGCAAGAGAAACGACGTAGCCCTGGCGCATCGTTTCCTCGAGATCAACGAGAAACGTCGTCGTAGCGTGCGAGTCAACGCCCAGAACAACGAGGGCAACGCGCCGCTGCACTTGGCCCTGAGCCACACCGACGATCGTCAACACGAACTGGCGCAACTGCTGCTGAGACGAGGAGGCGCCGATCCGAATCTGGCCAACGCGGAGGGATCGACTCCTCTGCACTGCGCTTTCGAGAACGGCGTGAACGTAGACGTGCGCATGTTGTTCGAGATCTACGACGAGCTGAATCGGCCGGTGCTGATCGACGCCCGTGACAAGTTGGGCCGGACGCCCCTGTTCTTGGCTCTGTACCTCATTGATTACGAGGAGTCGATCGAGTTTCTGCTGAGCCGAGGTGCCGACCTGAACGTGGCCAACAACCTAGGAAGCACACCTTTGCACATAATTTGCTACTTACACAATTCTGCCCTGTTGAGCAAATGCTTCCGGATCAGCGACCAGTTGAATCGGCCGTTGCAGGTCGACGTCCAGAACAAGCGGGGCGAGACGCCGCTGCACACGGCTCTGTACAACGGTCGAGTAGAGACGGCCGAATTGCTGCTGAGAAGAGGCGCCTCGGCGAATTTAGCCGATGCCAAAGGACTGACTCCGCTGCACTTTATTTGCAACAGTGCCTATTACGAGCAAGAATTGGCGGTGATGTTCTTCGAGGTCAACGACGAATTGAATCGAGCGGTGCAGCTCGACGTCCGGGACGAGGAGGGTAAAACGCCGCTGTACACCGCCGGGCTTCGCGATCGCAAGGACTTGTTCGAGCTGCTGCTGAGGCGCGGCGCCGATCCGAATCTGGCCAACGATCGCGACGGATCGAGGCCTCTGCACATCATCTGCTACCGGGACCAGCGGAGAACCGATAGCTTGGTGCGGTCGTTCTTCGAGATCTGCGACGAACTGAATCGGCCGGTGTCGATCGATGCCCCGGACGAGTTGGGCCGGACGCCTCTTCAATGGGCCGTGATGGGTGGCTCACCGAGAGCCGTCGACGCGCTCTTGCATCGCGGCGTCGATCCGTCCGAATTCGTTTTTCCCACAGAGGCTCAATTCGCCGACGCACGCCCGAACGTGGATACGAGCGCGGTCGAGAGATTGACTCTAGCGTCCGTCACTCTGGCCATCGTCGAGCGCCTCGCGGAAAGAGGATACCAGCTGGATCGAGGCGAAGCCACGAAGATCATGAACGCCCTCGTCAGGTACGAATTGATCGAGAGAGTCAGCGACGAGGCTGATCTCGACGAGGCTTGGCGGCGCGCGACGACGAGGGAAGTTGGCGTTGTTGCAGCCGGCATGTCGGTCCACGATCTGTACCGGTTGCGACCCGAGGAGGCGAGAAAATTGTTCACCTACGAGAACTGCCACGAATACGCGTGGACCTTGGAGTGGCGCGACTTGCCCGAGAGATCCTCCGGCAGACTGGCTTGCGCCTTGCATCTGTGCGAGAAACTGTGGAGAGGATTCTTCAACTCCTGGGCGCTGTATCCTCTTTGGGATCTGATCGGCCCACGACTGCCGCTCGAGTGCTGCCAATTGATCGCCGAGAAATTGAATAACATAGATTTGTGGCGTATCTGTTCGGCGGCGGAGGGACTAGATTCGTAATGGCTTATTTCATTAGTTTCGTTCGACGAAAATAAATGTACGGGAAACGAATTATGGCTTTGACACGTATTTGACGCACTTTTTTGGTTGGCAAAGCTCTCGCATCTATTTAAAGTATTTTTATTTGACAGTGCGTGTTACAATCTAAACGAATAAAAAAAATTTTAATTTATTCATCTGCTTTCTTAGTCGGTTCTTAATTTTTTTTCGTATATTTTAATTTTATTTGCTATCTTGTTGACAAAATTCTCGATCTTTAAGTTACTGCTATACATGACATTACTTGACGTTATCAATTATTGAAAACTCATCGCTCGTTTGGTTAACCCTCATCCACTGACACACCCACACACATAGCTAACGAAGAAACGTGTCACGAAGAAATATGTTACATAGATACATCTTTAACGCCATTGTACGCGCAACCATCGCCGTTTGCGACGAATTAAAATAGCGAGCGACACTTTTTTATACATATAACACAGCACACGCTTCATTTCGCGCGCGCGCCAACGAAATTCAATCATCTTTTGAAAGTATATAGCGCGAGCGAACGGATCCGCCTCGGGCTCGTCGACTCGTAGGCGATACACCTATAGCTGCAGCATAAAACAGAGACGCGCGTATATATCTATACGTATATATGAGCAGCGTGGGTGGAGGTAGAGTAAGTAGTAAATTCTCAGGTGGGTCACGCGCAATGCGTCCCCAAGACTTGATTCGATTTGCCGTTTATATGCGCCGGTGTGCGCGTATATATATACATACTGTACATAGGATATGGTCTTAACTGCGTGCTGCATCTAAGAGGAGGCTATATGGCTGCTGCTGCTGCACTGCCTGAGAGAGAATCTCGTTATGTATATAGGGTGTAGCTCCTCTACGATATATAAGGCAGAGAGGAGAGGCGACGGCGACGGGAGGGTCTCGAGAATTGTTATCGAGGCTTAATCGTGTTTACCGTCGAACGCACAGTGTGCACCTTATATACAGTATATATAGCTGCATTATATGCACAAAACCAGCTGCCTACTACTAAGCTCGACGTCGTAGTCTTCGTCGAAATACTATGCGTACTTTTGCTCGCGCATAGAGGAAGACATAGATTTTACGATTGAGCGGGGGAGTGTCGCTCGACTGTACGTAAAGTTACTTTGATTGCGGACGCGAATATTATATATATAATCCACCTTCTTGTCAGCGCGGACCACTTGCTGGCCGAGGCGAGACGGCGCAGAGATCGATGTATAATACGCTCGAGATTCTTCTTTGATCCGCAAGTTGGCCGCGCGTTTATCGAATAACAATATACTCTTGTCGAGTTTTCCAAAAGTACATAAGCTAGAGATAAAATTTTCCTGCGCGCGGTCGCGTAATTTCGGACTTTTATAATTGCATCACCGACGTTGGTAGTAGTAAACTTCTTGCGCGCGTCGCGTGTACACGTTTATTACGATGTAAGTTGAGTTTTCCATGCGTTTATATCATTAAAGTCGTTACAGCTTCTTAGCTCTCTCTCTCTCTCTCTCTCTCTCTCTCCGAGCTTGTACCTTTCTTCTTTTTCGCATTTGCCCGGCTCTCTTTCTCTCTCTCTTACTTTCTTTCTCTTTCCGGTATAACAAGTCGTAACGAGTCACCGCCCGTTTTGCGAAATGCTCCTCGAGGCAGGCAAGCAGCAGCAGCGCAACGTGTCTCGAGAGCTATTTTGCGATTAAGCTCGCAGCAGCTTGCAAAGGACCGAAACGCGGCGCGTCCTTTGAGCTGCAGCGAGGAAAGAGAGTTAGGTTAAAAAGAAAGAAAGAAATGGAAAAAAAATTAACGAACGTCTTCTTCTTCTCTTCTTCTTCTTGGCAAAAAAAAAATAGACTTGGACGAATGCTCGATCGACAACGGCGGCTGCCAGGAGATCTGCGAGAACACCGAGGGCAGCTACTTCTGCGCCTGCGAGGGCGACGAGCGAGTCCTCGCGCCCGACATGAAGACTTGCGTCGGTGAGTTTTGGCTAAGCTCTACTACTATCGATATTTGCATGTGTATAACATGACCGTGGCAGTATACCGTGTGCATCAATTTTGCATACGACAGCTTGCAGCAGCGCAGCAGTTAGGCCGAGATAGGCAAACTTTCGCCGTCGTGCTGCGCTGGAAGTTTGAGCGCGTCGTGTGATCGTTATAAATTAGGCCGCGTGCATAAGACGTCGGTTAATTTGCAGTTGCGGAGAAGCGTTTTCAAGAGCTCGAGGACGCAGCGGCGGCTCGGATGCGGCAGCAGAAACAGAAACAGCAACGTCACTCGTGCTCGGCGCTGAATCCGGTCGGTGGCCGAGGCTACCTCATGTGCACGTCGGACCTAACGACGACCACTACGACGACGACCACTGGTGCTTCGGTGGCGGCCTTGGATGCAGACGGAGAGGGTGCAATCAACGGTCAACAGCAACAACAGGCCATCAAACCCGGCACAAAGTGCTATCTCAAGTGTCCCCTCGGCTACGAGCTGCACGGCGAGTACGAGCTCACCTGCCAGGCCGACGGCACTTGGGACGGTCCCAAGCACGGCGAATGCCTCAGTGAGTCACTACTACCACTACTAGCTGTATACAATAGATATATCCCCTTTAAAAACACTTCTCTCCACGTGCATGCGGAACAAGTTTGCCACTACCCACCACCGACACCGAAACATTTTGTTATACGTACATATATAAGTACGCTAAACTAGCTGTAACAGCACGAAAAAAAAAGAAAAGAAAAAAGCTCCAGCGAAGCTGCTTCCAAGCGCGCGGCAAGTTTGCGGCGCATCAAAAAGTTTTCACCCGCAGCAGCAAGGCCGCAGAGATTTTTACTCGACGAACTCGTCGGCCTCAAAGCGCTGTACCAGCTAGAGAAGAAGCCCTTGAAACCACACGAACCCCATGATCGTGCATACGCGCGCGTGCAGCCCCCGAAACTTTCGACCGATGCTTAAACGTCCGTACGCTCTAAATTTTCCCTCTCTATACAGGATACAGCAAGCCACGACTGGACTGTCCGGCCGACGTGAAGGCGGAGCTGCCCCCGGGCCGGGACGAGGCGTTCGTCACGTACGAGCAGCCGTCGACGGACCTCGACTGGTTTCGCTACGTGCACTCGAAGCCGTCCTGGGGCACGAGGCTCGAGGCCAATCTCAAGCTCGGCCGCCACGAGATCACCTTCTACGCTCGGCATCCCGTGTCGAAGAAGCAGACCACCTGTACGCTCAACATTACCGTTCAAGGTGAGGGTGTGCGCCAAAAAAAAAAAGCTCCAGTTCTCTCTATATATAATACCAGCATTCTTTCCCTTCTCCTTCTTTTTTTGTTGCTGCGTGCACATTGAGCTTCTCTCTCACGAGTATAAAATTTCTTTGACCCGTTTTTGCCTACTACGAGAGAGAGAGAGAGAGTTTATAAAGTGCATTATACTTCACAAAAGCTCGCGAGCTCGTATATAAGCATATAAGAAGCTGTAGCACACGACCTTTGCATGTATATTTTATAAACGTATCGCGAGCCTTGCAAAGAGAATAAAAGCTTCTATTTACTCGGTGCGCTAGTACGCGCGTGCGACTACATCTTTTTTTCTATCCTATACATTATGTATACTATCATCGGGCTATACACATAGTTCAACTTTGTTCGACGCGCGTGCGACACTCGAATATAGTTTCCAAATTTTTTTTTTTTTCCTCGCACCTAATTGTCAAGAAACAATTATGAAGAAAGTTACGCAATAGTGTCGGAACTTTGCCTCGCGATACTATATACGTGTGTCTGCGGCATGCAAATCCGCGCACCGAGCGCGTCTCGAAGAAATTACCTCCTCCTGCGTATAGAGCGCACAACGTGGCTCTCTCGCTCTCTGTACAACCGCACAACGCTTTAATTAAATGCTGAATATATATCCATATATAATTATATACCTACTACGCCTCCTCCTCCTCTCTGCGGAGAGGCGCTCTGAACATGATATATGACAAACAAACGGCAGCAGCAGCAGCCTCGAGTAATTTAACTGCGCTGGCTGCTGCGGCTTTCTGGTGTGTCGTCGACTCTACCACTCGTGTGCGTGTTGGAAAAAATATTTTCTACATCTCGTTTTTGTGTTTCTGTGTTTTTTTGTTTCATGTCTATTGCAGAGGGCCAAGCGCCAAAGGTCAACGGTTGCCCCAGCGACATCCAGGTGACGGGCAAGAACGGCTCGGCCATCACGTGGATCGAGCCAGTTTTCACCGATAACGTCAAAGTCACTCGTGTAACGAGCAACGAGGTACGTGTTCGCACACAGAGGCATACATTTCATTGCTATATGAACATCCTCGAGCAACGGAGCTTATTACACTCGAATATAATACGGCCCTCTTTCATTTTTCGTCGCGCGTCGCGAAATTTATATATCTCGCACGTATGAGCTAGATAATAAACAGCTGGGTAGAAATTAAAGCGCGGGGCCAATGACAAAGGGCAAGCGAGCTTGCAAGTATATATGGCGTATACAAGAGGTTTGGGGGCGAGCTTAATTAAATTTCAATATGGCTCCGTGTCCTTTATTTTGCACGTTACGCGATCTCGAACTCTTGTTGAGATATTCTCCACTACTTGTACTTGCCGCGCCAGAGCCAACAAATATATCCCCACCCGAGTCGTATAATGTTATTTCATTCCGAAGGCAATTAAAATTCAGCGCGAAAAAGACTGCCACTGCCGTTGTTGTTGCTCCCGTTGCTGCTGCTGCTAAAATAAAACACGTCTCTCGGCGCGCGATAAGGCTGCGCGAAGGCTATAGAAAAAGGAAAAGAGAGCTTTATAAGCGAGCACACAACGCGGGCTGAATATTAGCGATAGAGCAAGCGCGTAACGAGGGTAAAAAGCCAAGTAGCTGCCTACGGAAAATTAGCTATGCGTTATTTTTCGCGCGATAAACTCCAGAGCCAACAACAGCGGCAGAAACAGTGTACCCATGCACGAGGCGAATGAATTTTTTCCCCCCGGAAGGAAAAGGCTTTTCTTTGTTTTGTCGTGCACGAGCGGCCCCTTTTCCATTTCTTTTCGTCGACTAAAACACGAGGAAGAAGAAGAAGAAGAAAAATCCTCCATGCGGTAGTTTTGAAAAAGTTTTTAATTTGACGCAAATAATGGCCCTTTTTTTAGTGCTTCCACTGTTTTCTTATTCGGAGTATTCGACAGCTTATTTAGCGTGGATGTGATTTTCATGTTAATTGCCCCGCGCGAGAATCTCCTCTTTTTTTTTTCTATGACAAATGGCTTTGTATTATCGTAACAGAGTGCGACATTTTCCCGCAAATAGCTACGTTTTCGAATGCATTTACCTTGTGAGCAAAATGAAAAGAAAAAAAATAAAAAAAATGTCCTCAAACTTCTTCTCTCCGCAGAGCCCCGGTCAGACGTTCAGCATCGGTGGACACAAGGTCGAGTACGAGGCGAGCGACGAAGCCGGCTGGACGACCAAGTGCATTTTCACCGTCGTTCTGCGGCCAATATAAATGGAAATTATTAGAACAAAAAAAAAGGAAGAAGAAGAAGAGGAACTCCTCGTGAGCGCGAGAGAGAGAGGGAGAGCTTGGTACAACCGAGAGACGAGAGAAGTGAATTTTACACGTAAAAAAGAGCGTTTGAGGCTATTTTTTCCACGCGAGGAAATTTCGAGGAGACGGGACTCATTTTTCTATTCTTTGTTTTTTCGTTCCTTTCTTTCGAATGTACCGTAGATTATGTCGTATAATGTATACTTTTTAAATAGTAAAAACTAAATTTTTCGGATATTAGAATAGACTGAATCGATCTAAAAGTATAAACTAAAGATATTAATATTTTATGAGGGTAATAAATATAAAAAAAAGGTGTATCGTTGATGATATAAAGCAACAATAAAACTTTTTTTGTGCGACAAAAAAAAAAGAATCCATGGTGTAAAGAAGAAAAAAATAGCATGTACAAATTAAAAAGTAAGAAGCTACCGAAAACTCACGATTATTTGCAAAATTTAGAGAAAACCTAATTCACTTATACCAATAATACAGAATGGTCAATGATTACAATTGAAACTTTTCGAATTTCACTGGATTAAACAAGGTGAACTTCATTATAGACAGTATTTTAGTGTTCGACCTCGTCTGCCGACCCCCCGTAGGATTCAGTATTAAAATAAACGAAACGCGCAAAAATGGTTACGTAACAAGAGAAAATAGTTTTTTAATCTTTCCGAACGAACGATGGCTTCTCTCGTTTATGATTATTATTATTATTATTTTTTACTATACACGCTACGTAGTAGTCGATCCCTCCTCTCACCCTCACGCTTCTCTCTCTCGCCCTCCTCTCCCCCTTTTTGCCATGATCTACTGCCATAAATGGAAAAGCATTTTCTCTTGAAACGACCAAAGATAAAAGTAAATAAAAAAATATAGTCACACGGCGCGTGATGTCATGTTGCTGCGCGCGGCGGCGGCTGCATAAGTCAGGGAAAAAAAATTTATGTAAATTTTTATGCGAAATTGCGTGCATATTGCCAAGCCAAACGTAAAAATTGATACGCGCGAGATTCGAAATTCGTGCGGTACACTGCGGAGGAGATAAAATTGAAAAACAATAATATCAAAACTCGCGCGAACAGTGGCTGGGGGGTAGGGCTCTTCCGGTTACGCAGCGGCAATCGGTGAGGTTCGATTGTTGCAGCGCATGAAAATTTACATAAACACGCCAAGCAGCGGGATACAAAAGTGGATGTAAAATTATAGAAGAATATACAATTTTTGTAACGTCGAAAAGTGTCCAAAAATATCTGTGTAAAGAAGAAGAAAAAAACAATTGAACCAAATAAAGAAGTATAAACGTACAATGTGAAATTCTATTGAATCAACCTCACGACCCGAAAATCCTCGGTATAATCGCACGCTTACACCGACTCGACTTTCTACCGCACGAAGATTAGCAATTAGCTAACGCGAGCGAGGCACATCGTGTGTAATATATGCTGAGTAAGAAGCGAAAATCACGAGCTCGAAGCCGAGCGACCCTTTTCACGCCTTACTTGCGGCAAATTCGTGCCACGCTATTTAGAGGCTGAAAAATCCTCAACGAGATAATTCATTCGAGAGCTTGCGCGAATATCGATTGTATACATAAAAGCCAGGTAAAAATCTTGTTCTTTCAATTACCGCGCCACTATATATAGTGTATACACGGAGCCAAGGAGAGAGCCGCAGGAGAATGAGTGCACAAAAGAGAGCCGGAGAGAATTACAACGGCTTCCTTTTTGCGCGCAAAACTTTCAGTCGAAGTATTTCGAAATGATTTTCGTACAAGCTGTTGCAGAGAGAGAAAGAGAGTGAGTATAATAATCACCCGAAACCCAAGGAATATTAGTGCTGCTGCTGCGACTACGACGACAACAAGTGTGCCCCACCCGAGGGGGCTCGCAATACGCAACTTTCATGAGCGATGAATTTGCACAGAGAGAGAGAGAGAGAAAATGATTTCGGTAAAGTCGCTGAATTGAAACTGTAATATTTCAACCGGAGAGGGTAAGGTATTTTTCGATAAATTTTGCTTCTGCTGCTGCTGCTGCTTGGCCTCCCTTTATACACGAATGATTTGATGCCAATTGTTGAGTGGGCTGGAAATTTTATCGCACGAATTCATAGTGCGGGTATATGCACGGCTTGTGAGTAAACTACAATTGTGGGAAAGCTTTTATTTTTACGACTGCGCAAAGTGAAAAATTGAAAAGTACTTTCGCGGTGGCAGTAAAGTCTGACGGCAGTCAGAATTGATTAAGAGTGAAAAGTCTTGCGCGCCTTACTCTTTTTTTTTTGATAAAATGCAAAGGTTATCAGAAAGTCATCAGAATATTGTACGATGTGAAATTATTGTCCGATTACTTACGTAATTTTTACGATATTTGCTATCGTTTTTGCGGTATAAAATTTTAGTCCGATTCGAATAAAGCATCGCGTTGAAAAATACAAGCATTTTCGGGAAAGTCTTTCGAAAACCATGTTTACGGTGTAATCAACTGTGTTAAAAACGGTAGTAGATATTGTTGATCTGAATCCCGATTTAAAAACACAGATAGAGATATCAATGTGTATGAAATTTCACATTGATTTTACACTTTTTCAACGAACAATAATATGTTGAAAAAGATAGAACAGTTAAAGCCTTTTTGTTTAAAATTATCCTCATTGAAATACTTACCACTAATGATGAGCCAATGACTAAAAAATGTTCGTTAAAAAAGTTTTAAAATTCATTACTATTAATTGGATTGTTTTCGTCAAAATAGGTAGTGCAAAATACATTTAAATAACTTGAGAATGACAATTTAACTTTTTCGAAATCTCAGACAAGTTTCCAATCACTTAAATACGATAATATGATTATACCTAAAAATTCCACCACTAGGTGGCGAGTACTTATACATTTGTAAATCTGCAAGTGGTAAAGTCAAAATAATTGTATAAGACAAACGTATTCGACAGCTAGTCGACTACATTTAATATTTCTTGTAGTACGGGGCTCATTAAAGAGCATCACACATTTTTTTGGATAATATCTTGTTTTATGCTGATCTTAATTTTCAGAAAAGACATTCTTTCATAGATCCTTGCGGCAGTTAAAGACGCTTTTTCGACTGCAAAGTTTGTTTAGAAACTTTTCCTTGCCTCAATTTTTAATTCACTTCAATAACGCTTCCACCATCGTTCCATTTTATGAGCTCTTTCATCGCATTTTACTCCTCTTACATACGTAATGATATGCTCGTCATTCTTACTAGAAAATTGAAGTATTTTTGATTTGTTTTGTAATTACTTCATACTGAATGAGAATTTTTTTTTCACCCAACTTCACAATTTATTCAATTGTGTTTCCACGCAGTATATTATAAGTCAGTGTGATTTCATCAGCCATATATTAAAATCTCATACATGAAGTGAATTATCGCTATACCGACATATTTTCAAATTACGAGCGCGTCGTCGGATGCAAATAGGATAAACACATTGTTATAAGCACCGGGTGAAGCAACAAATATCGATTATTCACTCGTATAAAAATCATAATAATAATAATAATAATAATAATAATAATAACAATGATAAAAATAATTGGTAAGCTGCTGCTGTTACTGCACTATCGCACCGTTACATCGAGCTCCAAGTTTTTTTTAAAATATAATTGGATTATAAAAATGAGAGACGCGCGTAAGAAGCAGCGGCGGCGCTCCACGCTAATAGATCCGTAGCTATTGTAAAAATTACTTATATGCGCGCAGCCCAGCACCAGGTCTGTACACACCCGAGAAGAAATCGATACCTTAATTAACTCTGCGTCGCGTAAAGCATGAAATATATATTTACGCGCGTGCAAAAAAGGTGGCATTGCTAAAAGCCTTATAACACTTGGAAGCTGAAAAGCAAAATAAAAAAACACGAAGCCTTTTAAGCTCCTCTCTCGCTCTATCTGATATTAAGAATAATCATCATGATAATACCTCGAGTCACAGCGATTTTTGTGCTATAGAGGATCGCAACTAGTTTATACAGCGTGGCCGGGGGGTTATTAGCCGCGTTATTAGCGCAGCAAAAAGTTGTGTCCTTGAAGTAAATTTCTTCGCCACTGCAGCCAGAAGCTTATGTATATTTTGATGAGACGATGTCGCTGCTGCGATGAAAAACGATGCAGGCTCGGAGCTGCAATTATCATTGCCGAGCTGTGGATTATTCAAACTGATTTTCGTTACCTCTGTATATATAGAATTTAATAATTAATCAGCTACCAAACTGAAATAGTTCCCGAGCACTCTCCAATGTAATTACGAAATTACACGTTAATCAGAGTCTGTTTTTACGCAAGGTGAAACAATTATTGTCGTATAGAAACAAGGCAAACGAATGCAAATACTGAGCGTTCGTCTCTCTCTCTCTCTTTCTCTCTCTCTTTCTCTCTCTCTCTCTGTCGCTCCGAAAGCAATTGGCTTTATTCATTTTTCTAATTCACGAGAAAGCAGCTACGACGCTTTCAATTCCAAGCCGATAATTTCCCTCAGGATTGATAGAAAATCATAATAATGACAAAAAAACGGTGGCGATTTATTTTTATATCTGTCACATACAAAAAACTGAGTAAAAAATACATGGAAGAAATAGATAAAAAGTGAAAATGGAGCCGCGTGGCTCCGAGCAAAATAAGTGATTCGATTAATCGAATATTAGCAATAGGTATGGTGACAGTGTTAGTGTTAGTGATGCGGTAGTAATAAAGTGCTGTTACTCCACTCGATTGTAGATAGAAATAATAGGTCCTGCAGTGTTGTGGGTGCGTTTGCTTCGCAACTGCACTTATTCAGCTGTTTGTTTGTACTAAATTAACTGAAAAATAATTTTTTTTAATCGTCGGGACGCCCCCTCAAAAGTTTCAAGCCCCCCAAAAAATGAGCGCTATCAAATTTCAGCATCCACAATCATAAAATTAACCGATCCCATGTAATTCTCAAAAGCTTTGTAACCATTTAAACAATGAGATATGCACAGCGACAGACCATTTTTCATTCAATATATTAATGTCGAAAAATTGTTAAATGAAAGCTTACGCAGAACCTATAATATAAAATTATGCTGGTAAAAAAGTGGGTAACTTATTGTGCATGGAGCATCAATTTTTCGACAAAAATCATACTTTTATTCACAACTAATGTGAAACATAATATCATTAAATACTTCTTTTATCATTTATTTTCATTTTTTAATTGTTGGGAATAGTTTACTGTAAATTGCGTTCACTCTTCTTCCTAATGGAAGGACATATTTTAAAGCAGACTTGTCTAATTCGGTTCCTCGTAAAAAACATACTGATTCGTTTACTTCACAATATCTGTAATGATGAACTCCTGCAATTTCGGGTTCAACTATAAGTTCTTTGAACACTAAAAAAATAACAGATAAATTTATACTTTTTACATATAAATTAACATCCATAAAACAAAATGTATCATTTTACCAAAACCTAATGTCGTAGAAGTTTTTCTAGTTTTTATAACTTTATGATTTCCTAACTCTATTGTATCTAATCCTCTTGTAATGTATTTGCTTCGATCATATGCTTCATTGATACGAGACCATCTCAAAATTTTCGTTTCAAGTAATAATTTAGGATAATCTGAGTGTGAAATTAATAAATAAGACATGTTTATGAGATTTTTCGTATTTTTCTTAAAATTTCAAATACCTTGAGGCGTTATTCGAAAAGGATTATCTTTGTTCATTAAATAGAAAAACTTGTTCCGAAAAATAAACACTGCATTCCGATCATCAGATTCCGGATCTAATTGTTTCATCATACTTTGATAGTTTTCGTATTTTCTCGGTACAATGAATTCATCGAGATCAACATTAACAATGTATTTATAGGCTTCAATCATACTACTTCTGTACAAACAGTCATTAAGTGCTGCGAATATTCCATTGTACCTGAAATGTCAAAATAAAACTTATGGAGTATAAATTAGTACTCACTATCATAAATATAATTAGTTTTAATGATTTAAACCTTAAATCTTTTTCAAACTTGTATTTGGGAGGAATTTTCCATGGCAATACTGTTATAAAACCCTCGTCCCTGTAGTAAGCTAACACATTACTCACTTCTTTTGTAATTGAAGTATTATAAAAGGTAAAATGATTTACCCCCATCATTCGATAAAATTCAATAAATTCAATTAAATTTAAATATTTATCATAATTGTGATGTAAACTTGGAACACAAACAGCCATAAATCGTTTCTGATATGAACTTAGCGTTCTAGTTGCATATTTGATACTGACAAAATTAATTTTTGGATCTGATTTTTCGAAAAGTTCTTCATCAGACATGCGAAAAGTTACTTGAGTAGGTAAACTTTCATCGTTTGATTTGATTAATTTACAAAGTATAAAAGCTGCTGAATATGGCATTCCATGATTTTCAATATCTGCTACGATATCAACAGCTATCGCGGGAGATTCTAAAATTATAGAATTGTTTACATTAGATGTCCAAAAACTAGAAGAAAATTTGTATAAACATCTTGTTGGCAAATTTTTGGATTTGACCGGTACTATTCCGATGATTCTTACCTGACAAACATATTCATTGAAAATTACAACATTTCATTGAAATTTTAAAGGAAATAATTACCATCGCCCAAGTGTTTTCGTTTTCTGCTTCGGGAACTTTATCGAGAATAACTTCTGGTCTCAGATCTGTATAAGCCGAAAATATTAAATAATCCATGCCCGTAGGAGCTTTCCACGAATCACTCATATTTAACTCAGCAAGTCGAGTCATTTTTTCAAGTAAATATAACTGGATCGTTTGCTTATCGTGAATCCATTGTAAATTTTTTTTGTACTTGGAAAAAATAATTATTTACAATAATGTATATTTTTATTCAGGGAAAAATAGCGCACGAAACTTTTTCGTAGACGAAATATTTAATGTAAAACTCAGGAAATGGGAAATTTTTGTACACGAAATTTCGAGTTTGGTACAATAAGTACGAAATTTTTTCGTCCACCAAATTTCCCTCAATAGCCAGACCCACATTTTAAAGTACTAATATTTGATTTTTCGTACCTTTTGATGACAAAGAAATGTGTAAAATATGTAAAAACTACAAGTTAAGACCAAAATCTTTATCCACTGCTTTTTTAAAAAGCCCAAAAAAAGCGAGCCTCGTGGAAACATTTTCGTTTCCATAAATGGCTAGTGACTAAGTTCCACATCTTTCCTGTAAAAACTTATGCTCGTAAAACTAACCAGACCAGATACGACACTGCTACGAATGCTTATCTACAGATAACAAATACCGACTACCTGTGTTTCATGCACAAAACAATTAAGCACATAGTTATTATGCACAAAAAAAGGTTAAAAATTTTCACGCACGATATAATTATTGCCGAACACAAATTATCCACATATTTAATCCACCAATTGATAAATTTGTAAAAAAGCTGGGCACAAAGTGTTTTGCGGTATTCATGAAACAAATATTTCTTGCACATAAAATATTGGGCACCTTACATCATGCGCTAATTTTTGATAATTAATTTGAGTATTTTTCGACCGAATTTTTAATTTTTTTTATATTGTATTTTTCGATTTTCTAGTCAGTCAAGAGTATTATGTTAAAATTTTACGTTAATCGAAGCAAAATTGACAGGGATATAGCCATTTTAATTCAAGTATGATGAACTCGATTTTTAACCCCAATCACATGTTTTAGTGTTCTTTACTTTTGGGTAGCTATATGTGGCTTTGATATAAGAATGTGAAACATTACGAATTCAACAACACAAACATGCTTTAAATATCCTAGATAATGTCCCTTGATTGCCATCGATTTTCAAGCCTATCACATAACTTCCTCTACGAGGAAGCAACAAACTGGAGAGGGAAAAGGTTTGAATGGATTCAATTTCACATTAATTAAATTGGCTGCGAGTTTTATTGTCGGAATAATTTAAGTTTTAATTTCACCTTACGCTCATCATAATAATAATAAATTTTCATTACGATCGTGTGCAGTGCAGTTGAGGATCGCACATATTATAATAATAATATACTTTTTATTCTGATATCGTACGCTTACATTATTACAAAACGATGAAAAATTACAAATATTTTATATACGATATGCAATAGCAGCCCATGCACACAGACGTTCCACCACTCGAACTTTTTCGATTTTTTCTTTCATTATTATTATTAATTTTTTTAATATAAAAACGATAAACTATATTTTTGCGCTAACGTACAAAAGATTTTCGTAATGAACGAGCTTATAGCTCGCAACACCGAGCTTGATTCTCCGCTTATTGTACAATATATTTCATAAAGTATGCGTAATACATCAACGAAGTGAACTTTACATATTATTAACTGCCAACGTTGTTTGTTACACGTACCGCCGCCACTGTACTGCTACTTGGTATTATATTTTCGAAAAGTTGGCTGCGCGACAATATTATATATCGAGTTACACACGCGCGCTTTAAAAGCTCGGGAGTCTCGTTAGATTCAAGACACAATTCTTGTCTCATTTTCGTGAATATTTTGTACCGTGGCTATATATTGTCGATTAAACGCAGGCACGTAATTGTAATAATGAATAATTAAATCTTAAACGTTACGAAAATTACAAAAAAAAAAAAATTTTCTGTATAAACTATCATACACGATTGGGGATAAACTTAACTTTGTTAAAATGGCATTGAACTGAGAAGACTCTATGCTTAAATAAATTTCTTAAAAGTCTATAAAACATCGTCGAAAAATTTCTATATGTATTTATTATCATTATCCGTGAGAGCAGCAGAAACGCTGATGATGTTGCTGTCGCCTGGCTTGATGATGGTTCTGCTGCTGCTGGTGTAACATCATGCCTCGCTGCCGTTGGCTCGCGTTGGAGTAGGCCTTGGACTTGTGCAACGTAGTCGTCGTCCTGGTGTGCGGATAATAGACCTGTTCCTGTGGTCTCTGCAGCTGCAACTGCTGACGATGTCTGTGCTGTTGTTGCTGCTGCTGCATCCTTCCGTTATACTCTAGCTGCTGCTGCTGATGCTCTTGATGCCGGTCTGTAATGCAGCAGGCACAGCGCAAGGGGGGATGTGCGATTAAGTGCATAAGGACTATCTACTACTACTTTTTTTGATAAACTTTTTTTTTGTGTGTGGCAGCCGTGTGTGTTTAGTAGTTGGGTTGTGTTTACTTTTCGTAGTGCACCATCTCGTAAGTATCGAGTCCTGAAACTTTTTGGGTTTACTCATTAAAAAAATTTGGAAAAGGCACAAAAGTTTGGTTTCCCAGGACAGCACGATTGCAAATGTGTGAGTCGGTGGAATGTTATATACTCCTTTTTTTGTAATACATGCATGGATAGAAAACGTGCTCGGTTAGAAGACCCTTTGGTTTTTCCCCTTTTTCCAAAAAAAGTATCGGATACTAAGCTTTGGACTAAAAAAAAAAAGGAAAAAGCGAAAATCTCCCACTCGCAAATCCCTCTCTTTCACTATTTCTCTCTCTCTCTCGTTTTTCCAGATCCCCGCGCGCTGCGAGGCGGTAAAACGTAAAATTTCGCAAGCATTTTCGATTCCATTTTTCCAACGCGACTGCATGCAATTCCAAAATTTTTGAAAACATCCCTCTGACACGCGAACAAAAAAAAAAGAGGCGAGTAAATAGAAACTGAGACGCACTGTGGCTTCCCTCAACGTACTCACGTGCATGCATGATGAAGCGCACCTCGCGAGTAGACGGATTTCGCGCGGGCGTGTGAATAACCGATGCCAACTTAAAATTACAAATGAACTTGTGTGTGCTGTATCGTGACAGTACGTAGCATAGAAAATTCCTGAAATCTTTTTTTAACCCGAAGCGAGGATGAAACGTGCGCAGATGAATCGTTAATCGAGTCGCAGCCACCGCAAAAGACTTTCGACATTCTGCGGACGACGACGACGGCTTGAATATTTTTCCTCGATCGGCTCTGGACGATGAAAGTTAAATTTTTCACACGACCCCTCGTGCGTCATCGCGAGGTTAAAGAAGTATAAAAAAAGAAAGAGGTTTTTAATTTCGCTAAAACTTTCATCGAGTAACAATTTTTGTCTCGAGCTGATAAGTTTCACACATCGATCTCGCCCAAAGCTTCATTCAAGGCTATCGCGTCGATCGAATGGAAGTTATATCTACACACCCCGCGACCTTTTGAAGGAGAAACGTGTACACAAATAATCAAATCTAAAAACGGTAGGCTTTGAACATCGATTTTTTTTCACGATGATTTTTAATCAATCGAAAAGGGACAAAAGTGTGCAATCGACAAGAAAAAAAAAAACGTATATACGCGAGCGAATTTCCGGTGTCACTTTTTGTTCTTCTCCTCGGCGAGTTTAACCGTCCAGCAGAGGGGCTTTATCTCGTCGCACTCGTCGAGCTCCATGAAATTGTCGTTGTCGCGCTCGTCGATCCTGTCGCTGGTCCGAGGTCTGATGGCCACCCGCCTCTCGGCTTTATTACTTTTGCCGCTTTTATCCTCGCTCTGCTGAGTCGTCGTTCGCTTCTTCCAAGCCTGACTGCCACCCGCCGGTATACCGCTGGAAGTCTTGGGTCTCTGATGGCCCGAGAGCGCACCACTGCGCGGCTTACTGCTGCCACTCGACGTCGGCGGCGCCGGTAAAGCCGGCAGCGTCGATTCCGTCGAGGTGATGGACATGCGACGCGGATCGGACGACAGCAGCTTGGACGCGGACATGGGCTTTTTCGAATTGGCCGGCAGCGGAAGCCGCGAGGATTTGCGCGTCACCGGCTCGACCGATCCTTGATTTTTCATTTGCGACGACGAGTCTACACGGGTGGTGGGCAATCGATCAATCGAGTTATCGACGGGCGCCATTTACAATAAAAGCTCACCCCAACTCTTGTTCTTGGAGGAGCCGGGACGCCTCTTGTCCTTTTCCATCGTGTAACTACCACCATGATCGTCCACGTCCCTCGTCACGCCGAACAGACGATCCTCGCGCTCCTGCAGGGTGAGCTTGCGATTGGGCAGCAGCAGGGTGCTCTGCGAGGCGACGTTCGAGCCGAGCGACTCCAGGCTCGCTTGAGCCTGTGCCTGATGATGCTGATGAGCTTGATTATGATGAGCCTCCGTGGCCGATCTCTGGTGCGAGCGCATCTCCCAGCGCCTCGTGAACCTGTCCTGGGTGGCGTACTTGCGATTGGCCGTGTCACCCGTCGAGGCGGCGATCCAGGGACGCTTGCCGTCGCTCGTCGTCGTCGGTGGCACCTTGTTATGAGTCATTTTGGACTTGTTGGCGTGCACGTCGTTGACCGAGCTGTCGAGGTCGCTCGAGCTGTCCTCGCGATCGATGCGCAACACGTCGGCAGCCGCCGCCGCCGGGGGTCTGGGATAGCTCATCGACGATATCCTCACGCTGGTGTTTCTGCCCGAGGCCGGCTTCGGTGCGGACCGAGGTAACCTCGCCGCGTGGTGACCCGTTTTCGGCCGCTCGTCGACTCTACGACGACGACGACGCATTTCATCGACGTGTTTACGACAAACAGTTTTGAATAATAATACTTTGGTCTCGGCGATCGCGGCTGGTCGTCCTCGTTTCCGGCGTCCGAGCCGCAGTAGCCGCCACCGCCAGCCTCGTCGAAGCCGCCCGCTGGCGCCGATATCCTCTCTGAAGACATGACGTCCACGCACTTCTCCTCGGTTACGGTCTTGGTGTGTCCACGAACCAAAAAGTGATCCATCGGGTGCGTGTAGACGGCCTCGCGACGCTTCGCGATCTCGATCGGGCTGTAGAGCTCGTCGGTGAACGCAACGAAGTCCAATCTGCAGGCTTTGGCCTTTTTTCGGAACGTCGTTATTATCATCGACTGGCGGTCACACTCGCTCGATGGAAAACAAAAAACTATAACTCACGTCTCGGTGATCGTCGACGGTGTTGAGACAGAACGAGTTCATGACGACGTTACCGGGTGGCTGCTGCTCGTCGTAATACTTCTTCAGCACCTCCTCCATGAGTCGATGCCTGTAGGCCTTGTAATCGATCTTGTCCTCCTCCTCGGGCCCGTCGTCGTCCTCCTCCAAGACGACGTTCGTCGGCGTGTGCGTCTTTTGGTGGTGGTGGTGGTTGTTACCGCTGTGGTTGTGCTGTCGATGTCCTCCCGCCTCGAACTCGTTGAGAAATTCCTCGTCGGTGAACTCGTGTATGCGCACCGTGGACTGGTCGAGATTCAGGCTCGAGTTGGACGACGACACCGAGGACATGAAGTTGCGGCTCGGGTAGTGCATGACCACCGTCGGATTGTCGGTGGGCGGCAGCAGAGCGTCCATCTTCTGGATCTCTTGCACGATCTCGTTGTTCTCGTTCTGGCGCTTTCGCTTCGATTCCTCCTGATATCGTTGTTCACGATGCGTTAACTTATTCTTTCGAACTTTTTTGCAGGTAGCAGCCAGCTTACCAGTAACTTTTGTATGCGCGAGAACAGGGGCACCGCGAGGACGACGACGAAGGCCAGAGCGAAGGCACCCTCGAGCAGCGACTGGGGAGGCAGATTGAAGGTTAGAAGCGGAAAGTAGCCGGCGAGGCCGGTGCCGCTCCCGGTGGAGCCGTAGTAGCCGCCACCGCTGCCGCTGCCTCCACCCTGGCGCTGGCCCCGATGATGATGGTGGTGGTGATGGTGGTGGTGTGGATTTTTCTGCGAAAACATTTTTGTCCTCCGATTCGCCTATCGATGTTCCGTCAGCAGCAGAAGCGATGACGACACGTGTTCGACGCGACGATAGCCCTCGTACACTGCATATTTCTTCGACACTTTGCGTGGGTGCGTTTGTGTGTGTGTGTGTTCGGGTGTGGGTGCCCCGCAGATCACCACGAGGCGTCGCGTGTACAAACGAAGGGTAAAAAAAGTTTTACTCGCCCTGTGATCTGTCAAGAAGGCCGTGCGCACTGCGCGAAGTTAGCCGCGTCGACTGCAGCGGAATGACGCACAACGATCGCTTCTCTTTGTTTTCTTTTTCTACGCATAACCACACAACATCAACGAGAGTAGGACTGCTAGTCAAATCTGACGACGACGACTTTGAAGAAAGAATTTTGTCTCTAGTGAAAATATTTGTGTGCGTAGGTGCAAAGCTTTCGCTCTGATGACTCTGCAGTCTGCTGCTACGTACGAGAGCAAAGAGCAAAAATAGCACGGGCCAAAGCAGAAACAACGCCTCGTGGCTGTGTAAATATAAAAAGCAGAGAGTAAAAGAGAGAGGGAGCAAAAAAAAAGTGGACGTAACTCTTGACAACTGTCCTGCACGCGTTTTCTCTCTCTCACCTGGGGAGCCACAAAGGCCAAAGAGGCGCGCGCACAGGACACCCTTGCGAGTATGTATAGTGCCGGCCGAGCGGCTCAAAGAGAGTACAGAGGCGAATGTTGCTTCGAGCTGCCGAGTTTACGTTAGCCTTCCCCCGCACACACTCACACGTGTACGCATATAAAATGGGCACTGAATAGGTGCAGCAATTTCTGCGATGATCGTCATATATTTCTGAAAAATACGCCGAGAGCCGAGGTATAATCAAAATATAAGATTTTTCTTCGTAGATCTCGCTCTCTTTACCGGATGCGTTGATCCTCCACATTCCCTCCCATAATATATACAAGCCCATATCAGGTCGATCTTATTTTTGCGAACCGAAATCCAAGTTAATCCCCCTCTCTCTCCTTGTCATACAATACGCAAAAAACTTTTCGCTCTCTCGTGCAAGTTTTGCGCATCTACTCAACCCTCGCGGCGTGCAAAAATCCTCAGCTTGCAAAACAAAAAAATCCCAACACACAGCTCCGCAGCTGCGCGAATGCATATTACATTGTCTCTCGCGTAATATTATACAACCTCATGCGTATGTGTTCGTGTGTGCGCGGTGTCACTTCAGCGCGAGCTTTTAAAGAGCTTGCGGCGTTGCGCGCGGAGAAAATATATGTAGTACACGTGTATATCTGCACGCATCTTAGTGCTCCATATATACTCCGCAAGTTTAATCTTGCATTCGTCGAAAGAGAGAGAGAATAAAACGCCCGTGGCATCGAGAGAACGTATTTATATACGTCGTAGAAGAGGCGAAAGAAGAAAGGAAAGAAAGGAAAGAAATCTCATATATAGCGCGCGGTTTTCCGACGCTCGTTCTTACATACGAGAGCCCCCGAGAGTGTGTAAGAACCGAGTAAAAATCTCACTCCGCGCGCACTCTCGGACGCTAAAAAACGCGCGCGGGCACGTGTATACATTAAGGTTTTTAATCCGATGCCGCGGGAGAACGCGTAGTATGTCCAATTTTACAAATGAAACTTTTAGCGGTTGTTATCGTCGTCGAGTTTCATTACGATCGAAATAAGAAGAGGGCAAACAAAAAAAAACAAACAAACGCAAACCACTTGTTCCGGACGAATTTCTGCGCGTTAGAGCTACTTTCCCGAAACTTTTCTCTCCGCGTATATAGTTTCATAATATGCTGCTGCTGCTTCGACAAAGTATAGCCAATGGAAGCTCTAGAAAAAAGAAAGAGAGATGACGCACAAAGAGCAATAGGACGTACAAAGTGAGCCCGGGCAGCTCATACGCGTGCGGGAAAAGTTGGAAGAAGAAAGAGAGAGATAGACAGTATTGAATATAAGTCGACGACGTGAGAGCGTCGAAGCGATAAAGTATAAAAACGTTTTTCTCTCTCTGGGAGGGCTCTAATCCAGCCCGCATTAAAACTTTGAACTATATCCAGCTATCGCGAATCGATACGTCCGATTTCTCGTACGAGATTAAAAATTATATAGATTCCCAGATTCGAGACGTGCGCAATTTTAAAACAGGCATGCCACACAACACATGTAAAGTCAGTCCAACACAAAAATATTTACAAATCATATCCCACGTGACGACACATACACTTACAGTCAACGAGCGGATACAGAGCTCGTGCCTGGGGAGGCAGCCTAGCGATGCTACTTCGAGGCGGGGGTGGCGGTGGCCTCCGCATCTGATGGTACTCGCCGCGCTGATAATGACTGCTGCTCGCGCTGCTGGCCATGGCCGCGGCTCTCTGCTGCTGCAGGACGTACGGGCTCGACGAGGTGCGCATGTAGCGCATGTAACAGCCGCTCGGAATCTGCCACTGTATTTAAAAGGGGGTCGAGGTACATTAGGAGCTTATTCGAGCTAAATAATCGACGCGAGCTAGCGTGACTTATCGCAAGACACTGCCACACCGGCTACCAAGCGCTTATCCTCGAAAGCTCCGCGACGTCACGTTATGAAAACTTGTGTGTACTCACCCTTTCCGACTGAGATATTTCTTGAGGCGGCCTGTCCTGACAGATCAGCATTCTGCGATATGGCTGCTGCAGCTGTAACGAAGCAGACGCACATTTTTACTATTTATTGTTATTATTATTGCGGTGTACGCGATACAAAAGAGGAGAATCGAGACAATCGATACACGTTCTGCACGCCGGTGTACAGTGACAAACGCGAGTAGTCGCGACGACGAGAGCTTTTTCGCTGTCGTCCTTTTTCTCCCTCTTTCTCATTCGAGCTTTCATTGCCGCATAGGCTATTCAGCTCGAAGGAAATCGAAAAAAAAGAAATTACGGAAAATGGACGACGGTAGACGACGACGAGGTGAAAAAAATTTTTTTTTTTATACACAATACCGCGGTAGGAAATACATCGCTCTCTTGCGGAGAGAAAGAAAGAGAGAAACTTACCTCGTGCTCCATTGCGGATAACGAAGCCGCTCGCCTATCCGACTCTGTAAATGAGAAAATTTTTCCTTTAAGAGAATTGAAAAAGGCAAAACCTTTTGTTTGCTGCTGCTGCTGAGTTGCCATGCGGTGTGTTGATAAAAAAAAAGGCGCGTACGCTAGCTTGCGAAAGATACGCGCGTATGCGAAGAGTTAACGGCACGGCTATACGGATATATAATATACACACACACACGAATGCCAGAGTTTACGTATGCTCGCGTTAGTTGGAGAAATCTTCGAGGCAAAAAAGACGACGCCTTTGCCTGATAAGAAAACGAGGTCAGCGTTCGTATACGGTGTACACTCGATTTTCTCAGCCTCTCGCTGCTCGCGTGCACACATTTTCACGATTAAAAATTAAATCATAAATTCTACCGCGTACGTATAATGCGGAAAAAAGAATCTCGACGACGACGGCGACGTTGGCCCGCTATATAATATACGTTGTAAATTTCACGCTATTCATGCAGCGGAGGAGCCGCTGCCGTCGCCGCGCATGGCCGAGCTCGAAGCAGCAGCAGCAGCAGCAGCAACGAGCGTCGTATTTTCCGGATGGAAAAAATATTCAAACAATGGCTCTTCCTTTTCGTTTTTTTTCTTTTTGCATCCCTTACCTATAATGTGTATGGTGAAACGACACTCGGCTCGATTTCCCGCGGCGTCCGAGGCGATGTAGCGCACGTCGTGATAACCAGCGTGCAGCAGTTGGCCGGGCTCCTGTTGTTCGTTGTGTGTACATGCGAATGCAGAAAAGCGAGAGAGAGGGATTAGAAAATTAAGAGCTGTCGATGATGTGTGTGTATTGTTGGGTTCGAAATCGATACTCTGTAGCTATCCGCATTGATATGCAGGTTGGTGTATTGACTTTTTCCGTACGGAATTTCAAAAATAAACGTTTCTCTTTCTTTCTCTCTCTGGAGGTGAATCGCCGAGCTACAAGGCATTTAATAATCCAGAGAGAGAAAGCAAAGCTACTTTCAGAGAGTTTTTAAAATGTACGCTCACCCCTTCCGCGCCAGTCTATATAACTTATACATGGCTGTACATAGTCTCGAGTGTGTGCAAGAAAAAAAAAAGAAGAAGAAGAGGCGAAATGTACTACATATACTCTGCGCACACAGCTCGCTCGAACGCGTCCGAGTTCACTACCACTCGTACAAGCGGTAGTAATGACAGTCGGTGCAGAGGAGAAGTATAGAAGAAGTAGAGAGCAAGTGAAAAAAAGCAGTAAGTCTTACCCGTGATTTGTAGATGTGTTTGACGTCGACGTTGTCGTGAAACACGGGATCCTGCCAAAATATCTTCCTCTCGCGCTCGCCCGGATTCAGCAGCACCTCGAACGTTTGCGGGCAGATCAGTACTTGCGGATTTTCCAAATCTTTAAAAAAAACAAGCAAACACGCAAGAGAGCGAGAGTAAAGAATATAATCGAATTGCCATGGAAGAAAAGTTACACTGCGCTGCACTCGCGCGGTCTTGAAAGTTCGCCTCGCTTCGCTTCACTTCTCTCTCTCGTATTTAATTGCATTAAAGGGCTCGAGTAATAGGGTATAGTCTTCAAGCTCTCTCTGGTTGCTGGTCTACTTCGGGTCATATTTACTTTTGAAGAGCCACTGCACGCGCGTATGTATGTACGTACGTATCAAGGAGTAGAATAAACCGATCGATCTCTTTTCTTTCTTGTAACTTTTCTCCTTCCGCGTTCTGTACCGTTGCTAAATCAATTGAATTTATATATCGCGAACCCTTTAGCAATATGAAGTTTCCCGCACGCGCGCGCGAGTGTGTACCTGGAGTATCCCAAACAGATTCTCTCGACCTTACATATATACAGCGCATCGAGTCTCGAGGGTTGAAGTTTGTTCTTGGCCCCGAGTATACGTGTGTACAACTTCAAGATTGAGCTGAATGGCTGCTCGAATGCAGATTGCGCACATCAAAACTTGTGCTGCTCCGCAGTGCAGTGCAGTAGAGGGAGTTTCGAGGCGAGTAATACCCCGCGACTAATATATATATATTTATATAATAATAATATAACCTCGAGAGGAAGAGGTAGAGAGCAGAGAGCGTTGCGCACAGTTGGGAGTTTGCTTTCAATACACAAATACACCCATGCACATATATTTCTAATTAAGGCCTGTTTGGACGATTGCCCGGCTATTTTCGTATTATTGAATTCGACGCGAGCGGCAAGGGTAACTATTATACAAGAACATCGGGATTTTCCACTGCATTATGTATCATTATATAGCGAGCGCGAAATTCGCCATATCCGTCTCTAGGCGTCTGGGTTGGATAGAACTTTGCGAACAATCGGATGCTTTCGGCTCACCTCGTATTCTGATCATCAGTCGGCAGCTGGCAGTGTTGTTCGACACGGGAGTTCTGGCCGTAAAAGTGACGATCGTGTCGCCGGCGGATAAATCGGCCTGCAATTGTTTGCCCCAGGCCGGATCGGCCTCGACGTACCTGTGGGAACGAGAAATAAAAAACGATATGTAAATGATCGAGATAGCTCGTTGAAATATCATCAGTCATTGAGATTCGAGTCGAAATGTCGCTTCGTCACCACCACACGACGGCGATATACACGCACACACACAATACCCTGTGAATCCCTCTCTCTATACCTCCTTGGGAGGTGGACAATAAAAGAGAGAAATCCCTCCCCCATAGAAAGACGCGCGAGTAAGCGATCGATATAATAATGGACAAGTCTCTCTCTCTCGCGATCGTCGAACGGAGTGAAGTCCTATTGTCGAGCAGCAGCAGCAGCATTGACAAAAAGAAGAAAGAAGCAAGAAGAAGACGAAGACGCGGCGAGGTCGGAGAAAAGGAGACGAAAAAAGAGAGAAAAAAAAAGATCGATGCGTTGCGCGCACGGGTATATAGTATACACGGTATACCGGCGATCAAGAAGACGACGTTGGCACGAGCGTCGAAGAGCCGCTGCTGGCAAAAGCATGGCAAAAGCTCGTCCCCTTGCCCAGACCAGAAAGAGAGAGAGTGAGAGAACCGAGTATACTTGAGTGACAAAGAAAAACGCGCCTCGTCGCTGCTGCTGCTTCGAAGAGTAGATGAAAGGGCCAAAGGCGAGCGCGCGACAGGCCGGTACGTACGTACAGTACAGTATAGTATAGTAGGGCCGAGCTCTGCTGCAACACGAGGGATAATAAATATTTCAAAGATTACTTTTTACACCGTAATGGATGTTCGTATACGTATATAGCGCTCTGCACATGCCCGACTCTCACACCCAAGGGAATGCACATACGTATAGAAAAGTAGTACTAGTAGTAAGAGTAGTAGAGGAAAAATATCTCTCCCTCTTTCCGAGCTTCGTACGTATATATACGTAATATGTCGTCGCGATGACTCGACACGCGCGAAACGTTCATGCCATTATTATAATTCGCCGCTTCACGTACCTATTAAAATCGACGTTGGTCTTGGGCTTCGAGAAGGTGATCCTCATGGTGCCACTCCTGGGCGGCAGCTCTACGTCCATGTCGTTGGGACACCTTATGTAGGGCCGTTCCGGTGGTTCGTCGTCCCTCGCCTCCTCCCCGACTGCAGCAAAAAAAAAAAAGAAGAATAAAGAGGAAGAAAATTAACATACGCGCTCGAATTCATCGAGCGTTACCGTCTATTAATCACGCGAGCGCAAAAGCTGTCTGCGGCCGGCGCGGTCTGCGCACCAAACCTATATAGACAGGCGATAGTTCGAGGAAAATGAGTTTTCAGCTTGTTTTTATCGGGGGGCCGGGGAGGCTACTGTCTATTCCTCCCGTGAAATAGTCCATCAATCAAACGGTTACGTATGCATGCATGGCCATAATCCACACCGTAATATATATAGATAGAACATAGAGAAAATATCTGCCGCGCTCGCCGGAGTTTTCGGAAAATCCACCCCGACGCAATTAAAGTTATTCGCGGGCGCGCGCGTGAAGTAATAATATTGTGATAGGTCGTCGCTGGTAGAGCTTTTTTTTTTTTTTAATGAGCAGAGCTCGCGTCAGCGAAACTTGATTATTTTTTTTTCCTCGTCACCATCTCGGAATTATATATAAGCCTATGTGCAGAAAAAAAACAGCGTTGAAAGAGAAGCTTTGTACGCTGCGTCGTCGCGCGAGCACAAGCTTATTGGAAAGATGCAACGTTGAAAATTCAGTTCATTAAAGCTCGCGCGTGAGGTGATGGTGATGGCGACGTTGGCGGTGGTAGTGGCGAGGGAAAGAAAAACGCGCCGCGACAAAGAAGCTCGAGAAAGAAAAGCAGCTTCTTCGGATCTCATTCTACCTTCGCGACGCGTCGCTGCTCGTTATCCGACAAAAAACGTGTAAGAGACGAAAATTTCTCTCGATGCGCCTATACAGATATATAAAACGAGCTTTTCGTTCGAGAAAAAGCCATCTCAGCTGCCGGCGCGGGGGGAGACCCTCGGGAGATGCCGCGACGCAGCTGCAGTAATACATCGAGACAATTTGAGAGTTAAATTCCCGATGCGAATCATTCGTCTTAATTGATTTTATCCGCCCGAGATGCGCCTCGAGCTTGCGCGCGCAAGCTCCAACGATAATTTCTAGTGCTTTTAAGCACGAACTCGAAAATCGTTCAATTTACATTACAAAATCGATCTCTGCATCTGCGATCACGAGAAACTTATTCGTTATTTTGGCACAGTCGATCTTACTCGCGTAGTGGGGATGACGATGCCTCTCGAAGGTGTAGTAAGGACGCGCCTCGCTGCCGCTGCCGCCGCTCGGCTGATAGTAGTAGTCGTTGCTGCTGCCCGTGGCGATGGCGGCGCGTCGCAGACAGCGCGGCTGCTCGCCGTCCCACCGGCCTCCGGACTGGCACGTTCGCAGATAAGAGCCTTCCAGTCTGAAGCCTCGTCTGCACCTCACGTGGCACTTGGCTCCTGCGGGATAATCCTGGGCTCCCGACGGATGCTCCGGACACCTCGTCTGTATACACAAATCGACTGATAAACTTTATAAGCAATAAAACAATATATAAAATTCGGGTATTTAACAATTGAAGATGTTTTTGCCACTGCTGATAAAATCAAAAAGCTCACAATCGAATACTTTAGCTTCGATTGCCTTAAATTTTGTTACAATACATAAAAGAATTTTAGAATATCGATCCTGACACAATCTCCTGCAATATATCTCAAATATTGTGCAGGCAAAATAACTATAGTGTCACAGAAAGAGAGACAAAAATGACTATACGGGATCGCGCGTTGCACATACCTCGCCGTACTCCGGCTCGGGGAAGGCCGGACATCTCTGCTGCTGCTCCCTCGGCACGCATGTCCTCTTGTCGTCGGCCAGCACCAGGTCGTCGGCACAGACGCAGTAGTAGCTGCCGTTGGTGCTGACGCAGTCGCCGTTGCAGCCGCCGTTCTGATAGAGGCACTCGTTCACCGCCAGACACTGGCTTGTGTTTCTGCGCGATTTCACATTGTTATTATTGATAATTATTGTATCGTTAACTTGAGAAAAATCATCGCGTACCTCCTGTTGACGTAGTAGCCGGAATAGCATGAGCAGGTGTAAGAGCCGAGGCCGTTGATGCAGTACTGCTCGCAATTGCCGTTGTCGATTTGGCACTCGTCGATGTCTGGCCGCACGGAGAGAAAAATTAAAGTACCGTAAAGATACGAGTCGTCTCTGTGCAGTTGCGAAAGCGCGTTAATTACAAAAGCTACTACTCACCGTGGCAAGCGCCGTCTCTGAGCTCGAAGCCGGGCTTGCATCGGCATTCGTAGGAGCCGGGCGTATTGACGCACTCGTGCTCGCAGCCGTGTTCCTCCTCCTCCTCCTCGCTACTCGACTCGGCCTCCGAGCATTCGTCGATGTCGACGCAGGCCGAGCTATTGGTCTCGGAAACGCGATAACCGCGACGACAGGAGCAGATAACTTTGCCGCCGCCTTCTAGTAGCTCGTCGAATTGGCATATTTGCTCGCAGCCGCCGTTACTCGCCGCATCACACGGATTGTCGTTGTCCTCGTCGTTGCTGTCGATCCGCTGCGTCGTTTCGCAGTCCTCGCACTCGTCTATCACCACACAGGTACGATTGTCGCTGTCCAGCAGCCTCGAGCCCTCGGGACACTCGCAGTAGTAGGCGCCCTTGGTGTTGCGACAGTAGTGCGAGCAGCCGCCGTTGTTGCCGTGGGCGCACTCGTCCAGGTCCACGCACACGTTGTACTCGGCCTGGTAGACGTGGCCCGGCCGGCAAGTGCATCGGTGGCCGCCCTCGACGTTCTCGCAGAGCTCGGGGCAGTCGCCGTTGCCGATGGCGCACTCGTCGACGTCCAGGCAGGTCTTCTCGTCGGCGTCCAGATACCAGCCCAGCGGACAGGTGCACTTGATGCCGGTGGCGACGTTGTAGCAGGTGTGCGAGCAGCCGCCGTTGTCGAGCTCGCATCTGTCGGCGGCGATGCAAGTGCGACGATCCAGCACCGAGAGAGCGTAGCCGTCCGGACAGACGCACTCGTACGAGCCGAGGGTGTTGAGGCACTCGTGGAAACAGATCGTACGGTCCTCCTCGCACTCGTCGATATCGAGGCAGGTCTTCTCGTCGTCGTCGAGCCTGAAGCCGGCCGGGCAGTAGCAGTGATAGGCGCCCAAGGTGTTGTTGCAGTACTTGGAGCAGCCGCCGTTGTCCTGGGCGCACTCGTCGATGTCCAGGCAGCTGGAGTTGTCCGCCGGCGACAGGTAGTGGCCCTCCCGACAGGTGCACAGGTAGCTGCCCACCAGATTCACGCAGTCGTGCGAGCAGTTGTGATTGTGGGGCTCGAGGCACTCGTTGAGATCGACGCAACTCCTCTTGTCGCTCTGAGACAGCGTGTAGCCCGCTGGACACGAGCAACGATAGCTGCCGGGCACGTTCACGCAGCCGTGCGAGCAGCCCCCGCCGCTACCACTGCCACCGACGTCGTTCTCGAACTCCTCGCACTCGTCGATGTCCACGCAGGTCTTGAGGTCCTGTTTCAGTCGGTAGCCCCGCGGACAGGAGCAGCTGACGGCGTTGGTGCGCGCGTCCACGTGGCAGTAGTGCGAGCAGTGGCTGCTCTCGGCGCCGCAGACCTTGGACTCGAGGCAGTCCAGGCCATTTTCGGCCAGCACCGAGCCGGCAAAGCAGGAGCAGTGATAGCCGCCCACGGTGTTGTTGCAGACGTGCGAGCAGTTGCCGTTGTCCCGAAAACACTCGTTCACGTCGTCGCACAGTGCCCGGTCCTCGGGGTTGCGCTCGAAGCCGGGCCCGCAGCTGCAGTCGTAGCCACCGTACGTGTTGACGCAGCCGTGCGTGCAGTTGTCCAGGTTCTCGAGGCACTCGTCGACGTCGGCGCAGGTGCGATTGTCCGGGCCCAGCCTCATTCCGCTGGGACAGCCGCAGCTGGTGACGTTGTTGTTGTCGACCACCTTGACCTCGCACAGATGCGAGCAGCCTCCGTTGTCGCGGGCGCACTCGTCGTCCTTAAGGCACTTGCGGCCGTCCTCTGCCAGTTTCATACCCTCGGGACAGGAGCAGTGGGTCGCCCCGTGCTCGTAGCTGCAGCGGTGCGAGCAGCCGCCGTTTTTGATGTAGCAGTCGTTGATCTCGACGCAGAGTCGGCCGTCCTCCAAGAGACGATGGAGACCAGGACAGGTGCACCTGTAAGAGCCCTCGCTGTTGTCGCAGCCGTGCGAGCAGCCGCCGTTGTTGATCGAGCACTCGTCCACGTCCCGGCAGGATTTCGCGTCGTCGGCGAGCACGTATCCGTCCGGACACTGGCATTTGTTCAGGCCCTCGACCACGTGGCACTCGTGCGAGCAGCCGTGATCGCCCTGGCAGCGAGTCGTCTCCAGGCAGGTCTTGTTGTCACGATGCAGCGAGTGAGTCTCCCGGGGGCACTCGCAGCTAAAACCACCCTCGTGATTCACGCACTTGAACTCGCACGGATTATTATTATTATCTTCGCACTCGTCGATGTCGCTGCAGGTCTTGTTGTCGTCGTTGAGCGCGTAGCCGTCCAGGCAGGAGCATATGTAGGAGCCGGCGGTGTTGACGCAGGCGTCGGCGCAGTCGTGCTGGCCCTGGTAGCACTCGTCCACGTCGCTGCAGGACCACTTGTCGTCGAGCAGCTCGTAGCCGGCCTCGCACTCGCACCTGTACGAGCCCTCGGTGTTGACGCAGCGCTGCGAGCAGGCGTACAGGCCCTCCTGGCACTCGTTCACGTCGCGGCAGGTCTTCTCGTCCTCGGGCGAGAGCTCGTAGCCCTCGGGGCAGCCGCAGCGCACCCGGCCGCCGTCCTCCTCGCAGGTGTGCGAGCAGCCGAACTCGCTGGCGCATCGATTCTCTTTGACTTCTTTTTTGTGGTGGAGGCAGTGGCGGCCGTCGGGGCCGAGTGACCAGTTGGCCGGGCAGGAGCACTCGTAGCTGCCCTGGGTGTTGACGCACTCGTGCGAGCAGCCGTGTTTGCCGCCGTTGGCGCACTCGTCCACGTCCTTGCAGCCGTGACCGTTGATCTCGAGCTCGTAGCCCTCGTGGCAGCCGCACTCGAAGCCGGTCTCGTTCTTGGCGAAGCACTTTTGCTCGCAGCTGGAGTTCCGGCAGGGATCGTAGGTGCGGCAGGAATGGCCGTCCAGGTCGAGGCTCAGTCCCTCGGGGCACTCGCATTTGTAGGTGCCGGGCAGATTGACGCAGAGATGGGAGCAGCGATTGTACTCCGGCACAAGGCACTCGTCGATGTCCTCGCACTTACCCTTGTCGGCTGCGGGCTTCATGCCCACGGCGCATCCGCCGCTCGTGCAGATTCGACCGCCGGGAAGCAGCACCATCTCCAGGGGACAGTCGCACTTGTAGCTGCCTGGCGTGTTGATGCACAGGTGGCTGCATCCGTTCGTTTTGCTAAGGCACTCGTCGCGATCCTTACAGGTTTTCCGATCGTCCAGCAGGTCGTAGCCGTCGGGGCAGTGGCAGCCCTCGCCTCTCACGCAGCCGTGGGTGCAGCCGAGCTGCTCGCAGCTCATGGCCACGCAAGTGACCCGATCCTCGGCCAGAGTCATCCCCTCGGGACAGGAGCAGGTGTAGTTGCCTCGCTCGTTGTGACACGCGTGGGAGCACTCGTGGCTGGCGTCCTTGCACTCGTCCACGTCCCAGCAAGTCGATCCACCCTCGCCCAGTCGAAATCCGCTGGGGCAGCGGCACAGAAACGAGCCCGGGGTATTGACGCACTCGTGCTCGCACGAGCTCTTGATCACGCACTCGTCGATGTCCTGACAGGTCCTGTTGTCCTCCTTCAGATACCAGCCCGGATTGCAGGTGCACTCGTAGCCGCCCACCCGGTTCAGGCAGTTGTGCTCGCAGCCGTGCCGGCTCTCGCCCTGGGCGCACTCGTCGACGTCCAGACACCGAACGCCGTCGACGAGCTCGTGGCCCGGCGGACAGACGCAGCGTGGCCCTTGGCCCGTGTCCTCGCAGCCGTGCACGCACGGCGTCCGGAGATTCGCGCAGGTCTGCCGGTCGCGGGGGATCTCGCAGTTGGACTGGTCGCGACCGAGCACGAGACCCACGGGACAGGAGCACGCGTACGAGCCCACGGTATTGTTGCAGTAGTGCGAGCAGGGCCGGGGACGCAGCGAGCACTCGTCGATGTCGTGGCAGCTCGAGGCGTCCTCGGCCGACAGCTCGTAGCCCGGGTGGCAGCTGCACGAGTAGCCGCCGTCGAAGTTGTTGCACAGGTGCGAGCAGCGACGCTCGTAGTCGTCCTCGTCCTCCTCGCACTCGTTGATGTCTGTAGTTGATATAAATATTTATGAGTGAGAACGTGGATTAAAGTTGACTTATACAATTATCTTTACTTCGCTCGTGCAGATTTACTGCTTAAATATTTTGCTATCTAGCGTAACAGGCTTAAAATGGTAATATGGCATTTAAAAATTAAAATAAAATAACACTTTGATCGTACGAAAGCTTTATTTTCGTTGAATTTACAATTGAGGATAGTAAATGAGACAATTTTAAATACCACTTTTGGAAAGAACAAGCTCAAAAACATAAGATATTGCTTGTCAATCGAGACATGGGTATAGCCGAAAGTAATCAGTCATAATCGTTTTATCTGAACAGTCAGTAGGTTTGATTATTAATGATTCCGCTTGTGATAAGAACAAAGTAATTTTTTGCTTTTTTAATAAAAAACAGTTCAAATAGCTGCTTCATATGGTGTCTTGACTCATATACAGTTATTTTCATTCAATCACTTGCAATTTTACAGATTTAATCGTACTCGCCATCTAGTGGCGGAGTCTTGAAGTGGTATTGTTGTATTCAAAGTAGCTTTAATATCTTTCAAAACGCACATGATACTTTCCGCGTAATTATAATTGAAAAGTCATAAAACACCAGCCAATTAATGATTTTATACTTTAAACATTTTATATCGTCATTTTTTTTGGCCATTAGGGCTTCATCAATGCCGAGCCTCAAACGAATCTTTCTCAATTACCTTTGCAGATACCCTCGTGATTCTTCCTGTAGCCGATGTTGCACTCGTAAAAGCTCGACGACTCGGTGATGGCCTGCTCGTCGTCGTCGTCTCCGTCGCCATCGTCACCCTCGCTGTCGTCGTCCTCGCCGTCGTAATCGTCGTCCTCCTCCTCCTCGTCGTCGTTCTCCGCGTCGTACTCGTCCTCGGGCAGCTGCTTCGTCTTCTTTTTCAGCCTCGGCACGCACTTGTAGCCACCCGGCAAATTATGACACTCCTCGGTCTTGTCGTTGCACAGCTTTCTCGCGGCCTCGCACTCGTTGACGTCTGCCCAAAAATCGACGTATTATAATACAAGACAATCGATGCAATGTAATAAAGCGATAAAAGCACAAAAGCTGGAGTGTAACTCACCCTCGCAGGTCTTGTAATCGTCGGCCAGGCGGTAGCCATCGGGGCATAAGCAGTAAGCGCTGCCGGGCGTATTGTAGCAGGTATGCGAGCAGCCGCCATTGTCTCCGCGGGCGCACTCGTCCACGTCCTCGCAAGTGCGATTGTCCGGTCTCAATTTATAGCCGGGCCAAGCGTCGCAGCTGCACTCGTAACCGCCGGCGAGATTGTTGCAGCCGAGCTCGCAGGGCCCTTTGCCGTCGTTCTCTGCGCACTCGTCCACGTCTACACACAAACACATGCAAACACCGGCGACGTATAATAAATGCATTCACATAAATACGAGTGCGCGAGAGCTCGAAATTATTATCAGCGTCGAGCTGGGATCGCAGCAGCAGTTACACACTAAAACACCAAGCTGCATGCACTGCGAGCTAGAGATGCGCAACGCAAAAGCGTCGAAAATTCTGGCAGAGAGCTGGCGGCAGCGGCTCATTGTCTCGGCACGAGCGAGCAAAAGGCACACACGCATCGATAAACCCAAAGTCCTCGCTCATTGATTTTTTTCCTCTTTTTTTTGTTCGACGAAACGAGGCTGGAGTGTGCAGTCTCGCGATATAACGCGTCACTCAGCCGTCAAAATTCACGCGCATAGTTCTCGCGATGTACGTATGAATTTACTGCGTTTGGCTGTAAAAGCTTGAAAAACCTTTTCTTTTTTAGCAAATAGAGTCATGAGTGAGGAATTTTTACGCGTTACAGCCCTGATAGAGATGCTCGATATTAATATTGGCCCAATGGCGAAAAAACGAAAATTCGAAGTGTTTTAAAATTCATGATCGTTAATTGGCTTGTTTATGGCGATTTTCCATGATAAATATTCAACGAGGTTTTAATAACTGAAAAATATCAATTTGATTGTTTACAGAAAATAGAACAAGATTTCAGACCCCTTAAATACGATAACATACTATATTTTAAGCCTTCGCCACCAGATGGCGAATACCGATATTTGTAAACCTGCAAGTGACGAAGTAAAGGTGTATTATATAAATCAAAGCTGAATGAAAAAATTACATGTATCTGTTGAATAGTCACCATCCTACAAATGCATTCTTGTATTCTTTTCTAAAATATTTATTTCAATCAATATCATCTCTAAGTAATTGGTATCGACGATCTGACACGATCAGTTTCGAAAATCGACAAAAGAAAAAAGTATAAAGAGCGTATCGCCACTCCACAGCTCTCTGCCATAATACTTGAGCCGCGTTCCTCGATACGACGCATCGTAATGCTAATGTCTTATACTCGCCTCGACAGGATTTATTATCCAGCTGGTCCAGCTCGTAGCCAGGATGGCACTCGCAGCGATAGGAGCCAAGGTCGTTGTGGCACGTGTGCTCGCAGCCCGACGTGCCTTCCGCGCACTCGTCGATATCTGTAACAATTGGGCCATTATACATGTACAGAAAGGCGTGTGCGTATGTTCTCGTCTGTTTATTATTGACGCTTGCAACGATGATGATGATGATGATGACGATGATGATCGCACAAAAGAGGAAATATTATAACTTCAATAGCCGCGCAGCCACGAATAAAAATTAAAAATCGCCGCCTTTTAATTTCCGGGGCTTGCCTGCGGGGCAATTCGCAAAATTCTCTGCCTGCATCGTTGCCGTCGTTATACGACTACTGCTCGCGCGCATCGAGATCGAATTTTACGATAGACGCGCGCCCAGCTTGTTGTACATCGTATATGGAATTCATACCCGTGAATATATATCTGCGCCGCGTACATAATAATTGTAAATACATAAAATAACATACACGATGTTTTGACCCGAATTTATTATATCGACGCTTATGCCAAACCTATATAATGTGTACTACAACAATAGGACGAATCGATAGATCGCGCGGATTAATATATAAATACGCAACGTCGAAACGATCCTCGAAATTATTCATGTACAGCTCGTCAAAGTATTCTATAATAACAATAATAATAATAATAATAATTAATATTCGCGTAAAAAACACCCACCGATGCAATTGAACGCTTCATCCATGCTATATCCGTCGAAGCAGCTACACTTAATGTCGTCCTCGGTGTCGGTGCAGACTTGCTGGCAAACGGCGCCGTCGCTGCTGCATCTCCTCGTCAATGGCTTCACCGTGATCAGATCTTTTATTTTTTTTTTTCGTTGTTGGGTGCGTGCCGATAAAGAACAAAAATAAATATAAAACAATACGTATATAGATCGGAAATCCTCGGGGGCAATTTGCATTTTGCGCATGCATGCGAGGCTGCGCTGCAGCCATTAGCTAACAAAACAATAATATATTTTTATGGCCCCTGCGCGCAATCTATTGCTGCAAACATCGATATGTATATAATACTAAAACGAAATCCAATCATATAAGGGCGGGTATCCATTACCGAGTCCCGCGTTCATTTTACTTTCGTATATGAATAAAACAATAAGCCGAAATAGCTGTGCGCAATGTATATAATAGTATACCGTCGATTCTGACGCATTCGGGAAGTACGCCGAGCCACGTGCCGTTGCTGCAGTAGAGCACCTCCTGGTCGGGATTTCGCAGCGCGTAGCCCTCGTCGCACTTGTAAATCGCCATCTGGTATCGATTGTGCGGCGGCTCGAGGTTTTTTCTTTTTGCGCACATGAAAAAAAAAAAAATATTCAAGAGTGAAATAGAGAGGACCTACACAACGTGGAAAGATCTGCTTACTTGGTGGATTTTTGAACGCGAGCATTTTTGACGCGAGGCGGCTTCACGGCCGGCTGCGAGTCTCTCTGTTTACCCGGACAGCTGGCGTCGAGGCGCGCCAAAAAATCCGCGTTGAAGCTGCCCAGGTACTCCTTCTTGCGTCCCTTGCCCCTCTTCTTGTTCGGCTGCTTCTTCCTCCTCGACGACTTGACGATCGGCGGCGGTGGCTCGTCGCCCAGGAAAAAGTCCTGACGAAAGTTCGCCTCGCCACCTCCTTGAACGAGAAAACAAATACACGATTCACAGATCGAGGCCCGATAAATATCATATAAGTAGAGTCGATAAATTACATCGACGATAAATACGTGAGATCGCTACCGGCGATCCTCGTCCGCGCGCGTGTGTAATCAGCGCATGAGCATTCAATAATAGAGCTATAAATTCGTTGGTCGATTCGAGAAAAACAGATAGTCGCTGCGATAAAGAAAGCGACCCGCCCGCGGGGTTGTGAGCCGACGTCGCGGCGAATCATCCGGACCAATAATAACGTTATGCTAGGCGAGTAAAGAAAAGGATCTCGAGGCAATGTGCACTTATAACATGTATTATATGCCTTTCCCGACTCTGTTCCTATAGTAAGTGCGAATGTGTGCGCGCATATACATACTGTAGGGAAATAAAGGTTGAGGATATATACGGAGAGATTCAGCTCTGATAGAGCTTGAACGATGTGCGGTGCGGCTGTGGTGCAGCCTGCGCAGCTACACACACAGACACACACACACACACACATATAGCGAGAGGAACAATGGGCTCGAGGCAATTTATCAAAAGGTGGAATTATGACGTTCTTTTATTTACGATGGAATACCGTGTGATCTACAGCTTCTATGTATATATGCTGCCACTGCTGCTGCTGCTGCTGGTGTATGTTCCATTATAACCGCAAGAGTCGACTCTCATCGTGACAAGTTTAAAGCATTGGCTTTTTATCCCTCGCCTAGTGGTGGTGGTGGTGGTGGTTAAAAAAAAAGAAAAAAAAACAAAGAAATAAACAGAGCCCGCGAGAGGGTGAAATAGTACTGTACACCGCGAGGCACTCGATAAATTTCCGTTTATTGTGCATATCTAATACAATATATAGCGTGGCCCTATATACACACGCAGCGAAAATGGGAAAATAAAGTCAAATGACGGTTTCCGATTTCATCTCTCTCTCTTTCCAGCTGCGGTTCGAGTTTTGATTTTTCGACACCGATGGACCGTGCGTGCGTTTGTGCGCCTGCCTGCCCGCGCGAGAATAACTTTTTGATTGGATTGCGTTTATATGCCAATCTCTCGATGGGCATATACGGGGCTCAGAAAAAAAGCCGCTAATTCGGTTACAACGCGCGTTGTACGAACGTTTTTGTCAACAAAAGTATTGTTTTTACCGAAACGACGCGACCGTAAAAACGTGTACCTGTTACATCCGAGAGGGGATAAAAAAATATTCCCCGCAACTTTGCGGGATCCCGCGCGCACTTTCTCTATATTTTGCGTTCTGAAATCTTTGAGCGCGCGGTATTATACGCACGTGGACCTTAATAATCGTAAAACAACCAAGTTGTCGTTTGACGCGCGCCGATGACTTTTCGCCTAGTTCTGCCCAGAGTTGCGACCTTTCGAGTTTGTGCAGCAGTGAACGCAGGAAAAGAGTGTGAGGAAAATATACGACGGACGACTTATACCGATCCTGAAAGAAGTTTTATTACGAGCTGCGTATCTAGACGCGAATACTCGATTGTCTTTGTCAAGTTCTCGTGCTTTACTTCAATTTATTACATTTTTTTATAATAATTTATTGTTTCCTAACATCTCGATAGCGTTGGTCTAGACGAGGTGACAAATAATCATATAGAAAAATCGTAAATTGGTTTATTTACAAGACAATATCAGAGATTGATATACGTGTAATGGTAACACGTGTCTCCAATAGGTGGCACAAAGCGCAAACATGATTTACGCGGACGAAGTAGTTAAGTATATTAATATATTAGAACAAGTCGTAGAGCGTCGTGTCGGTACGTATATGAATATTTTGTCGATTTTGTCGCATTTTGTATCCTCTTTTCTCCAGATTTTCGACGAAGTTCAAAACGCGAAACGCTATAGAGTCCATTTATGAATATGTGAATGTATTCTGTAGAATAAAATCGGCGCGATTTTTCTCTTTTGACACAGCGGAGTCGTAACGTCTACTTACTGTACACTATGCGGAGTCTATTTTTGTCCACTTGATCGCTGAATGGATTATTAAATGGAATATCTATTCGCATACTTAAACATGTTCCGTTTCACGTTCCAATGGACGAAAATAGATTCCGCATAGTGCACAATTAATTATGATTTATTCATTTTATTATTTATGGAGAGTAAAATTTTACTGTAAAAGTCTGAGAAAATTCTGTATCGATGAGAAAGTATAAACGAAGTGTAGTGTTGTGACTTTTGTTCATAATATATGCGTATAGGCATAGACAATGTCCCTAATTCGCTGGATTTAAGCTTTCTTATCCTCTAGTTTTCAACGGCAGTGTATTAATTGGAATTAAGGGACAGCACGACACTACAAAGATATTGCCATGCTGGCTGATTTTTCCCGCAACTTTGTTTGGGATCTTATACGCGCACTTTCTATACACTTTGCGTTCTGAAATCTTTGAGCGCGCGGTATTATACGCGCATGGACCCCAGATAAGGTGACAAATGATCATGTACTCGTCAATATAGAAAAATCGTAAATTGGTTTATTTACAAGACAATATCAAATATTGATGTACGCGCAGCAGTGAGAAGTGTCTCCGATAGGTGGCACAAAGAACAAACATTGATTAACGTGGATGAATTTGTTAAGTACGTTAATTACATAATCAAATGACTCGTCGGTGAACCATCGTAAAAATTGTGTACCTCTTTTCTCCAGATTCTCGATGAAGTTCAGAACGCGAGACGCTATATTTTAATAATCAATTTAATCACACCCAATTCAAATTCTCTCGAAAATTTGTCTAGTACATAGATCATTCCTACTTCAAAATTGGGCGATTTTTGTTTATGTTTTGGGCGCGAAATCGCCGCAGTTGAGATTAAAACGATACCACCGTGTCGGACGATAGCACCACCAGACCGTAGCACATTTAGTTACCAAGCGGTAAGATAAGAGTCTCAAATTTCTTTCAGTGTAGGGTCAATTTATGAATATGTGAAAGTATTCTGTATAATGAAATCGGCGCGATTTTCTCTGTTGACACTGCGGCGTCGTAAGTTAACGTGTGCTGACTGTACAATTAACTACGATTCATTCATAGAGTATAATAAAAGTAATTCGAGCTAAGGAGAGTAAAAGTCTACGAAAATTCTGTATCAATGAGAAAGTATAGAAGAAGCGTAGTGTTGTCTATTTTATTTATAACATATACGTCAATAACGACAACAGCTTATACATAGTCATAGATAATGCCCCTACTTCGCTAGATTTAAGCTTTCTTATCTTCGAGTTTTCAACGGCCCTGTACTAATTGGAATTCAGGCACAGCACGACGCTACAAAGATATCGCCATGCAGACTGCTCTCACCTAACACGGGTCAGCTGCGTGATTAGTTCGACCGTCAGTCCGCGTCAGCCGTGGGTACTTGAATATTTGAGTACTCGAATGAAACTCGAAAAAAAATCTGGACTCAATCGAGTTATTTTTGGGAGTATAGTTGGAGATGTTAGATTTCTATAACCATTTCATTTTTACTCGCGCCGACTTTTTACATGCCGAAAAACGATGATTCCTCTGCGGCTGCTCGATGTAATAGCTGAACACATAATGTCGCGCATTACGCGCGATCCCCGCCTGCAACATTATCGCGCGATATAACTTTCACGTACGCCGAGTCCTAGACTTGGACCAGGACGAATAAATTTTCCCGCGGCTCCCGATCGCGCGACGCGACGTACACGTATATACGTACGTTATAGTATGTGTGCGCGACGCCTAAACGCGAGATATCGGAAATTGCAGTCGCGCGCGCTGCAGCTGCCAAAAGCAGGATATCGAGCTATTTTCTCGAGGAAGTTTTGTACATTTGCTGCCCAAATGGCTGCGATTGCGAGTGGGTGTGTGTGTGTACACTTTTAATGTAACGTCGAAATGGTCGTTTAGGTCAAGAAGAGCCAGACTCTTCTCTGGATAGAAATACTCGACATTATATGGCTAGTTTTTGACCAACTTAAACTTGATCGTAAAAAAACGCTTATTACTTTTGATTTTGCAATTTCGGATGGTAAATTCTTAAATAAGATAATTCGAAAGAGCCGAATTAATTTATCTAGAATTCATTCTCTCGCTTCAACTTATATATATTAATTTGACTTTGTCACTTGCAGATTTACAGATTTATAGTTACTCGCCATCTAGTGCTGAATTTTTAAAGTGGTTTTGTCATATTCAAAGTAGCTTAAAACTGATCTCTACAATTCGAAATGATTTATTTATAATTTTAAAGTCTTTTGAAACGCGCTTAATATTTGTCACATAATATTGTAATAGAAAAATTGTCAAAAACAAGCCAATAAATGGTTTTATATTTCAAAACATTTAACATACGTGATTTTTCAATGGTCATTAGGCCATTATTTATGTTAAGACAGGATAGCTTACAGAAAAAAATCGAAAAATCGCGTAATATATTTTTACAATCCAGAGTAAATAATGAGGAACATCATCCCGATCGGCAAGTGGATATACCTTTATCAAAAATATCATTTAACAAGACTTTAATGGAAATTCAGCGAGCAGAGCACTATTATGTGTCGCACGCGCATGACAAATTAATCATATTACGTCGTTTGTCAAAGCCTCGGATAGCATCTCTCTTTGCCCCGTGCGTGCATATGTATTCTTCGTCGTCGTAGTATCGAGAGAGATGGCCAAGTGCCAATATAAACTACACATAAGCCATAGCGTTATGTAACGCATATAACCGCGGCGCACACACGAGCTATACGTGCTGCTGCAGGGCAGATTCATCGCCGCTCGCTCGCCTGCGTGTATCGTACAAAAGAGCGCCTATACACACACACACACACACACACATGAATCGTAATATTAAACGACGCTCGCTCGCGCATACCGTCGCCCCCCCCCCCCTTCCCGGTGTAATGAGCGGAATATCCTTCTCCATTACGTGTCTCTGTCTCTCTGCACTCGCTGTTCTCCGTTATGTACATGCGCCTCTGTTTAT